GACGTCCACGGGGTCCTGGAATCAATTCTTTACAGATACTGCGTTAGTATATTTTCACACTGCTGATAAAGATGTACCTGAAACTGGGAACAAAAAGAGATTTAATTGGACTTACAAGTTCCACATGGCTGGGGAGTCCTCAAAATCATGGCAAGAGGTGAAAGGCATTTCTTACATGGTGGTAGCAAGAGAAAAATGAGGAATAAGCAAAAGCAGAAGCCCCCGTTAAACCCATCAGATATCCTTAGACAATTCACTGTCATGAGAATGGCATGGGAAAGACTAGCCCCTGTGATTCAATTACCTCCCCCTGGGTCCCTCCCACAACACATGGAAATTCTTGGAGATGCAATTCAAGATGAGAATTGGGTGGAGACAGTGCCAAACTATATCATTTGCCACTGGCCCCTCCAAATCCCATGTCCTCACATTTCAAAACCAGTCATGCCTTCCCAACAGTCCCCCAAAAGTCTTAACTCATTTCAGCATTAACTCAAAAGTCCACAGTCCAAAGTTTCATCTGAGACAAGGCAAATCCCTTCCGCCTGTGAGCCTGTAAAATCCAAAGCAAGCTAGTTACTTTCTAGATTGGGGGACAGGTATTGGGTAAATACAGCCATTCCAAATAAGAGAAATTGGCCAAAACAAAGGAATTACAGGGCCCATGCAAGTCTGAAATCCAGCAGGACAGTCAAATTTTAAAGCTCCAAAATGATCTCCTTTGACCCCAGGTCTCACATCCAGGTCACACTGCTGCAAGAGGTGAGTTCCCATGGTCTTAGGCAGCTCCATCCCTGTGGCTTTGCCGGATACAGCCTCCCTCCTGGCTGCTTTCACGGGCTGTCATTGAGCATCTGAGGCAAGATGGTGCAAGATGTTGGTGGATCTACCATTCTGGGGTTTAGAGGATGGTGGCCCTCTTCTCACAGCTCCACTAGGCAGTGCCCTGGTAGGGACTCTGTAGGGACTCTGACCCCACATTTCCTTTCCACACTGCCCTGGCAGAGATTTTCCATGAGGGCCCCACTCCTGCAGCAAACTTTTACCTGGGCATCCAGGCATTTCCATACATCTTCTGAAATGTAGACAGAGGTTCCCAAACCTCAGTTCTTGACTTCCATGCACCCACAGGCTCAACAAGGATTGGGGCTTCCACCCTCTGAAGCCACAGCCCAATCTGTACATTGTCCCCTTTTATCCACAACTGGAGGAGCTAGGGCACAGGGCACCAAGTCCCTAGGCTGCACACAGCACGGGGACCCTGGGCCCAGCCCACGAAACCACTTTTTTCCTCCTGGGCCTCCAGGTCTGCGATGGGAGGGGCTGCCCTGAAGGTCTCAATATGGCCTGGAGACATTTTCTCCATGGTCTTAAGGGTTAATATTAGGTTCTTTGCTACTTAGGAAAATTTCTGAAGCTGGCTTGAATTTCTCCCCAGAAAATGGGTTTTTCTTTTCTATCGCATACGCAGGCTGCAAATTTTTTAAACTTTTATGCTCTGCTTCCCTTATAAAACTGAATGCCCTTAACGGCACACAAGTCACCTCTTGAATGCTTAGAAATTTCTTCCACCAGATACCCTAAATCGTCTTTCTCAAGTTCAAAGTTCCACAAATCTCTAGGGCATGGGTAAAATGCTGCCAGTCTCTTTGCTAAAATATAACAAGAGTCACCTTTTATTCCAGTTCCCAAAAAGTTTCTCATCTCCATCTGAGACCACCTCAGCCTGGACCTTATTGTCCATGTTGCTATCAGCATTTTGGGCAAAGCCATTCAACAAATTCCTAGGAAGTTCCAAACTTTCCCACATGTTCCTGTCTTCTTCTGAGGCCTCCAAACTGTTCCAACCTCTGCCTGTTACCCAGTCACAAAGTCACTTCCACATTTTTGGGTTTCTTTTCAGCAAGACCCCACTCTACTGGTACCAATTTACTGTATTAGTCCTTTTCATGCTTCTGATAAAGACATACCTGAGACTGGGCATTTTAGAAAAAAAGAGGTTTCATGGGACTAACAGTTCCACACGGCTGGGGAGGCCTCAGAATCACGGTGGAAGGCAAAAGGACCTTCTTAACATGGCAGTGGCAAGAGAAAAATGAGGAAGAAGCAGAAGCAGAAACTCCTGATAAAACCATCCGATCTCATGAGACTTAATTTACTATCACGAGAATCGCATGGGAAAGACTGGCCCACATGATTCAGTTACGTTCCCCTTAGTTGAGAGATTCTTTTTCATTTATCTAGCTTATGAGTTTAAGAACTTTTCTGATTTTATACCTTTATGAATTGTTTAAACTTAATGACAGGTCTTTTGGAAAGTTCTGTGGGAATTGATAGTAATTTTTATGCCAAGAGATAAAAACAAGACATTTGCCATATGTCTGTTTCAAAGAGTTATACTTTCTTTGAAAAAGATGTTGTGGGCTGGGTGTGGTGGTTTGTGACTGTAATCCCAGCACTTTGGGAGGCCAAGGCAGGCAGATCACCTGAGGTCAGGAGCTCGAGACCAGCCCGACCAACATGGAGAAACCCCATCTCTACTAAAAATACAAAATTAGCTGGGCGAGGTGGCGAATGACTATAATCCCGGCTACTCGAGAGGCTGAGGCAGGAGAATTGCTTGAACCCAGGAGGTGGAGGTTGTGGTGAGCCTAGATCCTGCCATTGCCTTCCAGCCTGGGCAACAAGAGCAAAACTCCATCTCAAAAAAAAAAAAAAGGTGTGATTGTGTGCATCCAAATTGTGAATCCTCTTTGCTAGTAAGACAGTTTTAAAGATGACAATGTGATATCTCATTTTTTTTCTATTAAAGTGATGGAACTAAATGGAAAATGATTGAGAATATAGTGGGTTCCTTGGAGCAAAGTATATAATTTCCAAGTAGTTGAGGGTCCTATTAAGTATTTCAGTTTATATCTTTTGTTCTGTTAAAACTGCCTGGGTTAGAAGTAAATTAGATTGATACCAGCAGGACCCTTCAGAAGCTCAGTGTTTTATTTCTTTTCATGTGTTGTGTTTTGTTGTTGTTGTTGTTCTAGAACATAGAAATTGTTTTATGAACTTTTTAAAAGAATTATGATTTACTGAAATATGCTTTATAAACAGAATTAAGGAATAGTATTCTAGTTCTAACTTAGTCACTTCTAAATTGAACCAAATGTTACTTGCGTTACCTTACACTCAAGGATGTTTGTGGGGACTGTGGGAGAAGGGAGAGAAGAGGGAATTAGAGGAAAAAGGGAAGAAGGAGAGAACGAAAATGAACAAGAGCATATGTGTCTCTTTGCAAGTATTTACATACTAATGGAGTTAGATGGGATCATCAGTTATGGTTATGATTTTTAAAAGTGATATATGATAAAATAGGAAATTTAGCCATAGATCTTCAGCAGCCTTCTTGCCACCTGTAATTGGGATTTACAGTAAACTGTTAGTCCCTCGCCTGGTAGTAATTTGTATCCTTTAACCATAAACAAATTGATCTGACATCTTGTATTTACTGAAATAACCAGAGTTACTCATTCAGAGACTGTAACCAAAGTTACATTTCTAACATATTTTCTGCCAACTATGTTGTAAACAAAGTTCACCTTGCAAACAGCTCAGTAACTTATTTAATATTAAAAAGTTGTTTTAGTTTTAGAAATTTTGACCTCTCAATTGTAATTCAAAATTTGAAAATAATTCTTTTATACTTTAATCATAAGGGCCCAAGTTCCTGACATTCAGAATTCAGTTGCAAGTCCCAAAAGCAAGCCAAACAAAGGTGATTTGTGCACTGGTCCCTCAAAAATGATAATTTTTGGCCAGGCGCAGTGCTCACACCTGTAATCCCAGCACTTTGGGAGGCTGTGGCAAGCGGATTACTTGAGGCCAGTTCAAGACTAGTCTGGCCAACATGGTGAAACTCTCTTCTGTCTCTACTAAAAATACAAAAATTAGCCAGGCATAGTGGTGCACGCCTGTAATCCCAGTTACTCTGATGGCATGAGAATTGTTTGAACCTGGGAGGCAGAAGTTGCAGTGAGCCAAGATCATGCAACTGTACTCCAGCCTAGATGACAGAGCAAGACTGTCTCAAAAAAGAAAAAAAAAAAAAAAAGATTTTTAGTGATGTCCATTTGTACTGCTTTAACAAAAATAACATAAACTGAGTGGCTCATAAACAACAGAAATGTATTCCTCACACTTCTGGAGGCTGGGAAGTCCAAGATCAGAGCACCAGTAGATTCACTGTCAGCTGAAGGCTTCCTTCTTGTGATTCATAGCTGGCTGTTTTTTCCCTATGTCCTCACATGGCAGAAGGGACAAGGATGTTCTCAGACTTCTTTTATAAGTGTATAAATAAAAGAGGGCTCCACCCTGATGAACTAATCATCTCCCAAAGTCTCCATCTCCGAATACCATCATGTTTGGGGGTTGAGATTTCAACATATAAATTGGTAGAAAGTTGGGGAGGGGGAAACATATATTTAGTTAACAGCAGTCGCCTTTGGAAGATCTGTAGCATGTAGAGTTTTGGTTCCTTTGACCAAAGGAGCTTTTTTATATTCTCATGAGCAGAAGGACTAAATTTTATAAACTTAAAGAGGCTTTCTGACAGAAATATTTAGATGCTACATTATAGAATGGCTTTTAAGACCATTTTAAAATTTGAATAATCCCAGAATATTAACAGTATTTGATTGGTATTAACAAATATTTCTACTTTCAGACATATGTTTTCCAAAAGTTCGATTTATATAAGCAAATTTTTTTAGAGTCTATATAATTTTAGTCTAATTCTACCCCTGCTTATTTAGGATGTTTATCCAGCCAGAGGGCCATGAAACAAAAATAGTGCACTTCTCTGGAATAATAGGAATTAGGAAGCCAGAGCAAACCCTAAGTGGTGGCAGTTTGAAAATGAGGCAAAAGCAAGCCAGGTTTTTTTTAACCTGTGAGAGAAAACAGGTGAAAGTAGAGAACTGGCCTGGTACTGAAAAGAGACCTGGAGGAGGAGAATGTAGAGGTGTTGATTTGACAGAAATGTGTTGGGGTTTCCCATATAACCTGTGCTAACATACAGGTTCCCTGGCCAGTCTATAAAATCCATATAATAGATTAAAGAGATGGTTCTGTTATTTTTAAAACACAGGCAACAAGATCACTGCACACAAGTGCAATAGTAATTGAATAAAATAGGAGTCTTGCACTAAGAAATGTCTTCCCCAAGGTTCCCCTCCTCTACAGCCAGATGCCCTTTGTCTGCCATCTTTTATCACCATGCTTCTCAAAAAAGAAACCTCCTGCAGGAAGCTTTCCAATTGTTCCAGGCCATTGCTGCCCTAAAGTATCACAAGGGTCCTCATCTCAACTACAGATTCCCCTGAGAAAAGCAAAAACTTTATAACTATATTTTTAGGGCCTCGGCCTTCATTTAGAGATTTGGTTTACAGTAATTGAGCTATCTGAATATGGATAATGTAGAAGTGGCTCATGAAAGAAGAAGCATTTATTGGCTTATAAAAACATGTATCACTTATGAAACTTTCTGGTAAATGGCATATACTACCATGAATCAAATTTTGAAGTAATTTGAAACACAGTTTTAAATTTGACTTTTTAGTGTTGTTTTTTTTTTAAGGGAAAACTCCTTCTTATATGCTGATATTAATGAAATTGAGATTTTTTTTTAAATAAAAAGCTTGAATAGATCAGTGTGAATTAAATATTTGCATTCAAGTTTCCAGCCACATTAAAGCATTAACATACTAAAATACTGCTTTTGCCATGGGTGGGTGTGTGTGTGTGTGTGTGTGTGTCTGTGTGTGTCTGTGTGTGCTGTGTGTTTTGAGATAGGATCTTGCTCTGTTGCCCAGGCTGAAGTGCAGTGGCATGATTCTAGCTCACTGCAGCCTCAAACTCCTGGGCTCAAGTGATCCTCCTGCCTCAGCCTCCTGAGTAGCTAAGACTACAGGTAGCATGCCACCATGCCTGGCTATGGGTTACCATATATTAACTTTGATCGTCTCAGGCATGACATTAGTGGTGGAGTGTTATGCTTCTTTATTTTGAAAGGTCTTTTAGTCAGGTGAACCAAAATTATCTCCCTCATCACATAGACTGAACTCATCTACTGTGATCTGAGAGGATACTTGATATAATTTTGATTTTCTTAAATTTATTGAGACTTGTTTTATGGTATAGCATATGGTCTATCTTGAAGGATGTTCCATGTGCTGAAGAAAAGGATGTACATTCTGCAGTGGTTGGGTAGAATTTTCTGGAAATGTCTGTTAAGTTCATTTATTCTAGGGTTTAAAGTTAATTGTTTCTTTGTTGACCTTCTGTCTTGATGAACTGTCTAGTGGAGTTTTTAAGTCCCCCACTATTATTGTATTGCTATCTATCTCATTTCTTAGGTCTACTAGTAATCCTTTCATAAATTTGAGGTCCCCAATGTTGGATGCATATATATTTAGGATTGTGATATTTTCCTGTTGGGTTAATCCTTTTATCATTGTATTATGTCCCTCTTTGTCTTTTTTTTTGCTGTTGTTGCTTTACAGTTTGTTTTTTCTGATATAAGAATAGCTACTCCTGCTCATTTTTGATTTCTATTTGTGTGGAATATCTTTCTTCACCCCTTTACTTTAAGTTTATGTGAGTCCTTATGTGATAGATGGGTCTCTTGAGGACCCATACTTGGTTGGTGGAATTTTATTCATTGTACCATTCTTTTAAGTGGAGCATTTAGGCCATTTACATCCAACATGAGCATTGAGATGTGAGATACTGGTCTATCATGTTAGTTGTTACCTTAATACTTTGGTTTTTTTGTTTTTTGTTTTCTGTTTTGTTATTGTTTTATAGGCTCTGTAAGATTTATACTTTAAAGATGTTCTGTCTTGGTGTATTTCAAGGTTTTCTTTAGAGACTTAGAACTTTTAGCATTTCTTGTAGTGCTGGCTTAGTAGTAGCAAATTCTCTCAGCATTTGTTTGTCTGAAAGAGACTTTTATCTCTCCATCATTTATTAAGCTTAGTTTTGCTTAGTTTTTCAGGGATACAAAAGTCTTGGCTGACAATTATTTTGTTTCAGGGGGCTAAAGATGGGGCCCAGTCCCTTCTGGCTTATAAGGTTTCTGCTAAGGAGTCTGCTGTTAATCTGATTGATTTTCCTTTATAGGTTATCTGGTGCTTTCTTCTGACAGCTCTTAAGATTCTTTCCCTTGTCTTGCATTTAGATAACCTGATGACTGTGTTTTGCAAAGAATTTCCCAGGTGTTCTTTGAACTTCTTGTATTTTGATGCCTAGATCTCTAGCAAGGCCAGGGAAGTTTTCCTCAATTATTCCCTCAAATAAGTTTTTCAAACTTTCAGATTTCTCTTCGTCATCAGGAACACCAGTTATTTGTAGGTTTGGCCATTCAATGTAATCCCAAATTTTTTAGAAGCTCTGTTTATTTTGTTTTATTCTTTTTTTTTGTTTTGTTTTGTCTTTGTCTGATTGGATTAATTCAAAAGCCTTGTCTTCCGCTCTGAAGTTCTTTCTTCTACTTGTTATAGTCTGTTGAAAGTTTCCCCTATGTTTTGTATTTATCTAAGCATGCCTTTCATTTCCAGAATATGTGATTGCTTTTTCTTTATGATATCTATTTCTCTGGAGAATTTTTTATACCTATCCTGATTTTTTTATTATTATTATTTCTTTTCATTGATTTTCACCTTTCTTGCTATCTCCTTGAGTAGCTTAATAATCAACCCCCTGAATTCTTTATCTGGCAATTCAGAGATTTTTTTCTTAGTTTGGATCCATTGCTGGGGATCCATTGCTGGTATGATCTTTTGGAGACATTATAGAACCTTCTTTTGTCCTATTACCAAAAGTACTTTTCTGGTTCCTTCTCATTTGGGTAGACTACTTCAGAGGTCTGAAACTCAAGGTCTGCTGTTCAGATTCTCTTGTCCCATGGGGTGATCTCTTGATTTGGCACTCTCCCTCTTCCCCAGGGATGGGGCTTCCTGAAGCTGGACTGCAGTGGGTTATTGCTTTTCTGGGTCTAGCCACCCTGTGGGGCTAACAGGCTCCAGGCTGGTGCTGGTGGATGTCTGAAAAGAATCCTGTGATGTAATCCATCCTCAGGTCTCCCAGCCACGGATACCAGCACCTCCTCTGGTAGAGGTGGCAGTGAAGTAAACTCTGTAAGAGTCCTTGGTTGCAGATATGTTTAATGTGCTGGCTTTCTTGAATGCTAGTTATGCTAGCAATGAAGTTGTCACTTGGACACCCTCAGGACCTCTAGTTAGCCAGGATGTTGCAGGCAGTGGAATTGAGTGTTGTCTTCTTCCTGGGATCAGGGTTAATCTGTCCTGAGCTGATGTACTGGCTTCCAGCCAGGAAGTGGCACTTTGAGGAGAGCACCAGCTGTGGTACTAGTAGGGGGCTCTAAGCTTGCCCTAAGATGCCTAGGGTAAGTATTTTGGTTTCTCAGGTGATGAGTGGGGTCATAAAGCTCCTAAGAGTTTCTATGTTTGTGTTTGGCTACCAGGGCGGGTAGGGAAATACCATCAGGTGGGTCTGCTTTAGGTGGGTCTGGGCTCAGACTTTCCTTAGGTGGGGTTTGCCACAGCCACTGTAGGGGGCAGGTGGTGGTTCTCAGGCCAGTGGGGTTATGTTCCAGTGGGGAACCTCACCGCCTCTCCTGTGTTATATAGTTTGCCAGGGAAGTGGCAGATAGCCAGTAGTAAGAGGCCTCACCCAGCTCTCAGGCAGTTGGTGAAGCCAGTCTCACTACTGCAGTGCCCTGCTCAGACCTTGCCACAGGCCATGAGCTACCCTGCTACCGCTTTTGGACCTCAGCCCTCCTCATCTGCCCACTGGTTTGGTGGGAGCTTCTGCACTCCTGCCCTTGCTTACTCACTTGTAAGTGAGTAAGCAGCTCCTGCTCATCTTCCAGACTCTGAGAAAATTTGTCCCCAGTTGAAACCACTACCAATTTCAGTTGAGAGCTTCCTTAGCCACATGACCCCTCCCCAGTTCATCTGGCTGCCTTCCCTGAGGTACCCTGTGAGATAAAGTCAGGGATAGCTTCCTGGGGCTCAGGCTGGAGACTCAGAGTGCTTTCTAGGTACTTCCCACTGCTACTTGCACTTTTATATTTCTCGTAACTCCCTAAACCCATTTCACCCATAGGGAAGGTTAAATCCTTCTCCTGTGATCTGGATTTTCAGATTCCTCGGTAGAGATGTGTGTTCAGAGGTAGGTTTTCCCCCCTCACACTTTGAGAACTTCTTTCAGTGGATCTGTGAACTCTTTCAGTTTTCCTGGAACGTTCTTGCAGTGGTTCTTGAAGCAAAAGGTCACAATGTGAGTCTGTTCACACTGTTTTGTCCATGCATGTGGGAGCTACAGCCCTGTTTCCTGTCTACCATCTTCTAACTAGTGCATTTCTTTCCATTGCTTTACTTTCTTAGTAGGTTTGCTAAAGGTTTTGTTAAACATATGTTTCTTAGGATAACATTAGTGATTTTTCTGAAAAATAATTACCTCTATTTCCACTTAGAGAGTTATAGAGTAATACACTGATATTTCTGAAGATTGTGAGTATCTTTTTTTATTGTAATAGAGTGAGATTTCTGTTAGAATAGGTATTGGTTTACAGTATGGGCCAGGACTATGAATGGTTATCTCCATTTAAAAGCCTGCTGTTCAAGGTTCAGTGTTAGGCTGTGCATGGTGGCTCACATCTCTAATCCCAGCACTTGGGAGGCCGAGGCAGGTGGATCATTTGAGCCTAGGAGTGTGAAACCAACCTGGGTGACATAGGGAGACCCTGTCTCTACAAAAAATACAAAAAAAAAAATTAGCCAGGCATGGTGACATCTGCCTCTGTTCCCAGCTGCTCAGGAGGCTGAGATGAAAAGAAGGCTTGAGCCCAGGAGTCAGAGGTTGCAGTAAGCCAAGATTACGCCACTTCACTCTAGCACACACACAAAAAAAGTTCAGTTTTTTTACCAGTATCATGTACATACATGTGCTGATTATTGTGTCTTATCTCACATTTCTCTCTTCCCTGCCCCACAACTCCACCAAAAAAGCTGGAACTAGTTCTCATTATATCTTTTTCAGAAAACCAATTGATGGAAGAATGTTCAAAATATACCTGTCATAGTAATTTAGGGTCTTCACTTAGTGATCTTTTTACTTTTAGATTTAGGGGTTTCACTCGACGTTAGAAGCTTGTATAGGAAAGAAGAGTTTGTAAAATAAATGGGTTATATTGATATTATTTAAATATAACTTGTTCGTCTCTATTAGATAAAATTATGTCCATGTTAAGAAGGGATTAAAAATCAGCATTTCCCCCCAGGAGAAAATGTGTCTCAGTCTTAAAGACTGTCCTGATATTGTTACTAAATTGTTCTCTATGAGGGAGATGCACATACAGCTAGAATTTTTTTAACCTGTGACTGACATTATTGGTGAAGTTAAATGTAGGCTGTCTACAATCTTGTATGTATTGACTCCTGTGATTCAGCTCATGTAATTGCTGTTAGCATGTGTCTGCAATTCTTTTTCTTTTTTTTCTTTTTTTTTTCTTTTTTTTTTTTCCTCTTTTTGAAATGGGGTCTAACTCTCTTACCCAGGCTGGCCTTGAACTCTTGGGCTCCAAGTATTCCTCGCACCTCAGCCTCCCAAGTAGCTGAGACTACAAGCATGTGCTGCCATACCTGGCTTGTCAGCAACTGTTGACAATTGATAAAAACTTTTTTATGTCATAGAAACAGTATTTTTCTTCCCACAGACATCTACTTTTTGATTTCAACATAATTCAAGCCAGTTGATACGGGATAAATCACAGAAAGTACAGCCTACCTTTATAATATATTTGTAATATAAATATGGCACTTTGAGCTTAATGAAATATTGAATATAATATATGAGTCTTTAGCACAATGCCTGGTAAGCTAGAACTTGTTAGAAACAGATACTCACTAAAGTTAAGCCAAAAAAGGGTACTTATTTTAAGGATATTAGGTTGTTTACTGGACCCCAAGGGCAGGCAGGCATCAGGGCCACTATTCATGGTTGTGTGGGTTAGCCTCTGCACAACTTTAAGCAGGAGTACAACCAGGCCTTAGAAACAATCTAGAATGAAACTAAACCATTGTTAGGCTAGTCCCTCTGTCTCCTCTCTGCTCCTCCTTTATTCTTCACTCTGAAGACTGGCAGTCTCCATTTCCCAGTCCATAAGTACACACACAAGACAGCTCAGCTACAGTATGTTCGTTTGATTCAAGAAACCTCTGAATCTGAATTCCAAACATCAAGGAAGGAAGTCTAGTCCTGCTTGGGTCTGATGTGTACCCCTGGACTATCTAATGAGGTAGAGCAGTAGAACCATGTTATATAAGCTTGGCTGTTTCCACTATTACCATATATGGGATTAGAGGGTTACAGAAATAGTCCCAAAGCTGGGAATGGGCTTAGCAAACATTGGTGTCTATTTTACTGAGCACATAGTACGTATTTAATAAGCATTGTTAATTTTATTTCTTCTTTTTCTTACAAAGTGCGAGTCATGCCACAAAGTATAGGTTTCAAGAACATGTTTTAGCAAATAGATATTAATAGGTCTTGTAAATTTTATATATATTTATTGCAAGATAACATTATAGGACCTTTTATTTATTAGATAATCAGAATATGTAGGATTTTGTGATATGTTATATGAAATGCTGCTGCTTTTTCTTAGGAAAATATGTTCTAACTCGGGTAAGAGTTTTCTCTTCTACTAAATCTTACCCTATATCATCAAGATGGTTTGAATTTCTTTCTTTTTTTTCCTTTTTCTTTTTTTTTTTTTTTTTTTTTTGAGGTAAGGTTTCACTTTGTTGTTGAGGGTGGAGTGCAGTGGTGTGATCATAGCTCAGTGCAGCCTCAGACTTCTCCTGGGCTCAAGCTATCCTCACACCTCAGCGCCACACATAGCTGGGACTGCAGGCAAATGCCAGCACAACCAACAAAATTTTTTTTGTGCAGACAAGGCCTTGCCGTATTGGCCAGTCTGGTCTCCAAATCCTGGCCTCAAGCCATCCCCTCAATCTCAGCTTCCTAATGCTCTGGGATTAGACCATGAGCAGCCTTAATTTCCTGATGTGCCTCTATGTCTTTGCTCTAACAATGCTACTGTGGCCCAGAATGATAGCCTCTCAATTCATCCCATGCCTCCGATCCCAACTCCTAGACTTATTTGTTCAAATTCTTCTCATGCTTTAAGACATAACCTAAATGCCATACACGTATAGGAAGGCTTCCCCAGACCACTCACCCAGAGGCAATGTTTGCCTCTCCTGAATTCCCATTGTACCTTATCCATATATGTCTTGTGGCACAGCATGCTTCAGTCTTAGAAGTATAGCTTAGATCTACTTTCTAAAATCTTGCTAGTCAATATTTAGATACTGGTCTCAAAAGATTCAGTTTTTGTGATCTGAACAGCCTCAGGACCTTGGAGTTTATATGTGGGTTACATCACCACAGGTTTGGACTTGCAGGGTTTGTCCTGAAACTTCTAGACAAATTCCATGGATGTAACCAGATGACTATTTCAAAGGGGAGAAGTGCCATGACCCCATTTATTACCTCCCTTATCACAGAAATCTTGACTGTGAGGAATCAGGTTTTCCTTGTTTTCTGAAAGAAACACAGCAAACTTTTGCCATCTATAAAGATTTTGAGTGAGAAGTTCTATAGATGTTAACTTTTCTTTAATTGTGGCTTATCTTTTGGAAGAGAGAAGCACCCAGATTTTTATGAAACTTAGAAACAGCCGATTGGCTTCCTGTAAGAAAGGAAAAGCTATTAGTGATGATGGTTGGAATTAACCAAGGGTCTCTTCTGTAATCTGTATTTGTATTCATATCACAGATATTTTCTCTCTACATTCTCACTCTTTGCTGTTTTTAAATAAAGATATTCTGATCAGCAGTTTAAGGGACAGTATTATATTGTTCTGTGTTCATTTTTTTCTTCCCTCTGCTTTATTTGGATAAACGGCTGTAAGAAATAGAATTTTTTTCTTCCTATTTCATTTCCCCCTTCCTTCTTTCATTTATATGTAACTATGATATGTCTTTAGTCTCCTGCATAGAGGAAACTTTTTGATGGGATGAAATTTACAATGTTGTGAAAAAGTAGGTATCTACTATGATCAGTGTCATTTCTACACTTTGGAAATACATTATTTCTAATGGGTTGTTTTTCCCCTTATTAAATATTAACATTTCAGTCACCATCTTTGTCTAATAAGACAGATTTTTAAAAATCAAATAATTGTAACATTGTTTTAGTTTTGGAATCTTGAATCTATAAAAATAATCTTTGAATAATGTAACACAGTCTGAAAATTCTAATGACTTTAATTGATATCTGTTTCATAGTATGTTTGCCTTGTTTCCACAGCCAGATTAATTTATTCACAGCAGACTGATTTTTTTAAATTTCCTTTTGCAGTCCCATTTTTTACTAGTAGTGCTAAATCCTACTAATAACAGTAAGTATTGAGCCTTTTCATACCCTCCCCATCTGAGATAGATATTATTCCATTTCACAAATGAAGTTCAGAGAGGTTATCATTTGCCTAAAGTCATAGGAAAGCATTCTTGTAGACATCATGATATTTCACCCTAAATATTTCAGTTTGAAACTTCTGAAAATAACATTTTACATACTCAAAATAACAATTATAAGACCAAAAAAACCCAATAATTCCTTAATTTCACCTCATTTTCAGCCATTTTTAAATGCCCCTAAATTTTTTTGTACTTAAAACACACACGCACACACACACACACCCATCCATCCCCCCTAGGATCTGATCAAGATTCATATGTTACTGGCTGGGCACGGTGGCTCACGCCTTTTATCCCAGCACATTGGGAAGTGGAGGCAGGTGGATCACTAGAGGTCAGGACTTTGAGAGCAGCCTGGCCAACATGGTGAAACCCTGTCTCTACTAAAAATACAAAAAATTAGCCAGGTGTGGTGGTGCATGCCTGTAACCCCAGCTACTCAGGAGGCTGAGGTGGGAGAATCACTTGAACCCAGGAGGCAGAGGTTGCAGTGAGCCAAGATCATGCCACTGTACTCCAACCTGAGAACGAGACTCTGTCTTTAACAATAACAAAAAAGGTACCTTGAATTACTACATCTGTCTTGTTTTTTTAAAATCTAAAATGCATAACCCCTTTACCTTTTGGGAGGGGTGGGGTGTACTAATTTTTTTTATCATTCCTTCTGCATTTGTTAAATGGCATATTTTTAGCAGGAGTGAAGGTAAAATAAAACTTCCCTTCAATTGGGTGCTAAATAATATGCAAATGAATGAATAGATTCATTTACTAGCTAATCATAAAAGCAATACTTAAATAAATTCTACAATTAAAGTACGGTCAGCCCTCTGTATCCATGAATTTATATCCCCAGATTCAACCAACTGTGGATTGAAACCCAGCTGTGGATGGTGAGTGATCAGGTTTTCTTTGTTTTCTGAAAAAGAACTAAAATTATTAAATTTGTAGATGGTGGCAAACTTTCACCATCTATAAAGATTTTGAGTGAGAATTTCTATAGATATTAACCTTTCCTTAATTGTAGCTTACCTTTTGGAATAGGGAAGCACCTGGATTTGCATCACGGGATTCAGCCAGCTACAGACTGAAACCAACTGGGGATTAGGACTATGAGGACTATGATGGATATGGAAGGCTAATTGTACTGCCTCATTTTGTGTAAGGCCTCATTATGTGCCTCATTGTGTATGTATCTGAGCATACACCAGTTTTGGTATCCTCAAGTGGGGTCCTGGAACCCTTGTGGATATGGAGGGCTGACTGTTAAAGCTATGTTGAAAGAAAAAAGACATTCAAGAAAAACGCTGAACAAGACAAAATGTAATGCTGCCCAGCTTTGCAGTAAACAATAAGTAGTCACAATATTGTAAACATTATTTGCTGAATTTTAGTTTTAGAATCAGTCAACCTTGTGGCTTCACTATAGTTACCAAAGGAATATAATAGTTAGCAACTTTGATTGTAGAGTTTAGAAAGAGAAGAGATTGAGGGAAAAATATGAAGTCCTGATATTAGATAGAGATTGTCTAACATTGATAAACAAGAAATATAGGGGTATAACTGTATTGATGATAGTTACAATGAAGTTATGTAGAAGAACTAAAAACAGTGCTGTAATTGCTATTATTTGAGGGAAAGGTGAATAGGCTCCTTGTCTATGATTGTAGGACTTCAACACTGTCTAAAATTTGATATATGAAGAAATGGTAATGTATGCATACTATCTAGAGAAAAAAAGGTAACCCCCGAAACAACTAAAAACAAAGTTTAAAAGCATTTGCTGTGGTGTGGGGATGGAGTAAAGGGAACTTGAGGAGACAGGACAATTGCTCTTTCTTATGTTATTTTTATATATTTGATTTTTTTAACCACATGCAAATACTTGAAAATTACAAGTTAATTCTAATTCTTTTAAACAGTAATAAAAACTTGAGTTACATTTTTTTTTTTCTTTCAGACACACTGTTCTTGCTTCTTATATGTGGTTTCATTCTGTATCTACAGTCTAGTAATTCCAGCTATGTATAGTTCAGTCAGTATGCATTTGATTAAGTTGAATGAAAAAAACCATATAAATATTGTTCTGCTTCCTGATTAACTTAAGGATAATCTAAATTCATACTAAGTTGTCTTTATTAAATTAGGCAAATTGGAAAACTAAAGGTTATCTGAATTAGTGATCTGTATATTTAAGCATCTTAGGACAAAAATTGGCATATTTAAGATTTTGTTTTTGCTTTACTTTTAATAGCTTTATTGAGGTATAATTTAAATAAAATTCACTAAGTGTACAGTGTGGTGAATGTTGGTAATTGTACACAGTTTATGTAACCTCTCCCCCAATCAAGAAAGAGAATAATTTTATCACCTCATCTATTACAGATGTTCCTCAACTTACATTGGAGTTACATCCAGATAAACCCATTGTTGTAAATTGAATATAGTGCGTTTTTTACTTAACAATATTTTCAACTTAAGGGCTTATCCGGATGTATCCCCTGTTATGAATTGAGGAGCACACTGAAACTGTGTGTAAAGTCAGAAAATCCTGAGTCTAACCATCATAAGTTAGAGACCATCTGCTATTTGTGTTACCTGCTCTGAATCTCTATCCCTCAACCCCTGGTTCTAGGCAAATACTAATCTGCCCTCTGTCAATATAATTTTGCCTTTCCTAGAATTTCATGCAAATTGAATCCTCGTCTTTTGTGTTTGGCCCTTTTCACTTAGCATGTTGTTGAGATTTATCCATGTTGTTGTGTGTATTAATATTTCTTTTGCTGCTGAGTTGTAACTTTTTGGGTAGTAATCTTTATATGTATATGCAACAGTTTGATTATTCAATTCAGTTCATCAATTGACCAGTTCTTGGCTCTTATGAATAATGCTCTGTGAATATTGGCATGCAAGTCTGTGTGTGGACATGTTTTCATTTCTCTTTGGTAAATATCTAAAAGTAAGATTGCTGGGTCATATACTGAGTATATATTTAACTTGAAAACTGCCAAACTGCTTTCCAAAGTAGCTGTACCATTTTAGATTCCAACCAGCAATATGTGAGAGTTTCATTTGCTTTACATCCTCAGCAACACTTGGTATTGTCCACCTTTAATTTAGCCATTCTAGCAGGTATGTAGCATCTCGTGGTTTCAATTTGTATTTTCCTAATGACTAATTGAACATCTTTTAATATGCTTGTTGGCCATTTGCATATCTTCTTTTGTGAAATATCTGCTCAAATATTTTGTCCACTTTTTATTGGTCTGTCTTTTTCTTAATTAGTTATAAGAGTTACATATTCATGTATCAAGTCTTTTCTCAGTTGAATGTTTTTCAAATATTTTCTCCTAATCTGTTGCTTACCTTGGCATTTTCTCTTTTTTTTTTTTATTACATTTTAGGTTTTGGGGTACATGTGAAGAACATGCAAGATTGTTGCATAGGTACACACATGGCAGTGTGATGTGCTATCTTCCTCCTCATCACCTATATCTGGCATTTCTCCCCATGATATCTCTCCTCAACTCCCCACCGCCTGCTGTCCCTCCCTTATTTCCCCCCTACAGACCCCAGTGTGTGATGCTCCCCTCCCTGTGTCCATGTGTTCTCATTGTTCAATACCCACCTATGAGTGAGAACATGGGGTGTTTGATTTTTTGTTCTTGTGTCAGTTTGCTAAGAATGATGGTTTCCAGGTTCATCCATGTCCCTACAAAGGACACAAACTCATCATTTTTTATGGGTTCATAGTATTCCATGGTGTATATGTGCCACATTTTCCCTGTCCAGTCTATCATCGATGGGCATTTGGGTTGGTTCCAGGTCTTTGCTATTATAAACAGTGCTGCAATGAACATTCATATGCATGTGACTTTATACTAGAATGATTCATAATCCTTTGGATATATCCCCAGTAATGGGATTGCTGCATCAAATGGAATTTCTATTTCTAGGTCCTTGAGGAATCGCCACACTGTCTTCCACAATGGTTGAACTAATTTACACTCCCACCAACAGTGTAAAAGTGTTCCTATTTCTCCACATCCTCTCCAGCATCAGTTGTCTCCAGATTTTTTAATGATCGCCATTCTAACTGGCGTGAGGTGGTATCTCAATGTAGTTTTGATTTGCATTTCTCTAACGACCAGTGATGTTGAGCATTTTTTCATATGTTTGTTGGCCTCATGTATGTATGTCTTCATTTGTAAAGTGCCTGTTCATATCCTTCGCCCACTTTTGAATGGGCTTGTTTTTTTCTTGTAAATCTGTTTTTGTTCTTTGTAGATTCTGGATATCAGCCCTTTGTGAGATGGGTAGATTGCAAAAATTTTTTCCCATTCTGTTGGTTGCTGATTCACTCTAATGACTGTTTCTTTTGCTGTACAGAAGCTGTGGAGTTTGATTAGGTCCTATTTGTCTATTTTGGCTTTTGTTGCCAGTGCTTTTGGTGTTTTGGTCATGAAGTCCTTGCCTATGCCTATGTCCTGAATGGTTTTGCCTAGGTTTTCTTCTAGGGTTTTTATGGTATTAGGTCTTACGTTTAAGTCTTTAATCCATCTGGAGTTAATTTTAGTGTAAGGTGTCAGGAAGGGGTCCAGTTTCTGCTTTCTGCACATGGCTAGTCAGTTTTCCCAACACCATTTATTAAACAGGGAATCCTTTCCCCATTGCTTGTTTTTGTGAGGTTTGTCAAAGATCAGATGGTTGTAGATGTGTGGTGTTGCCTCCAAGGCCTCTGTTCTGTTCCATTAGTCTATATCTCTGTTTTGGTACCAGTACCATGCTGTTTTGATCACTGTAGCCTTGTAGTATAGTTTGAAGTTCGGTAGTGTGATGCCTCCTGCTTTGTTTTGTTTGTTTGTTTGTTTGTTTGTTTTTTTGCTTAGAATTGACTTGGCTATTTGGGCTTTCTTATGGTTCCATATGAAGTTTAAGGTGGATTTTTCCAGTTCTGTGAAGGTCATTGGTAGCTTGATGGGGATAGCATTGAATCTGTAAATTACTTTGGGCAGTATGGCCATTTTCACGATAGTGACTCTTCCTAACCATGAACATGGAATGTTTCTCCATCTGTGTCCTCTCTTATTTCGTTGAACAGTGGTTTGTAGTTCTCCTTGAAGAGGTCCTTTACATCCTTTGTTAGTTGTATTCCCAGGTATTTTATTCTCTTTGTAGCAATTGCAAATGGCAGTTTGTTCTTTTTTTTTTTTTTTTTTTTTTTTGGAGACAGAGTTTCGCTTTTGTTACCCAGGCTGGAGTGCCATGGAGCCATCTTGGCTCACCACAACCTCCGCCTTCTGGGTTCAGGCAATTCTCCTGCCTCAGCCTCCTGAGTAGCTGGGATTACAGGCACGCGCCACCATGCCCAGCTAATTTTTTGTATTTTTAGTAGAGACGGGGTTTCACCATGTTGACCAGGATGGTCTCGATCTCTTGACCTCATGATCCACCTGCCTCAGCCTCCCAAAGTTCTGGGATTACAGGTGTGAGCCACTGCACCCGGCTGGCAGTTCATTCTTGATGTGGCTCTCTTTAAGTCTGTTATTGATATATAGGAATGCTTGTGATTTTTGCACATTGATTTTGTATCCTGAGACTTTGCGCAAGTTGCTTATCAGTGTCAGGAGATTTGGGACTGAGATGATTGGGTCTTCTAGATATACAATCATGTCATCTGCAAATAGAGACAATTTGACTTCCTCCTTTCCTAATTGAATACCCTTTATTTCTTTTTCTTGCCTGATTGCTCTGGTTAGAACTTCCAATACTATATTGAATAGGAGTGGTGAAAGAGGGCATTCTTATCTAGTGCCAGATTTCAAAGGGAATGCTTCCAGTTTTTGCCCATTCAGTATGATATTGGCTGTTGGTCTGTCAAAAAGGCTTTTATTATTTTGAGATACATTCTGCCAATACCTAGTTTATTGAGGGTTTTTAGCATAAAGGGCTGTTGAATTTTCTCAAAGGCCTTCCCTGCATCAATTGAGATAATCATGTGGTTTGTGTCTTTGGTTCTGTTTTGTGGTGAATTAGGTTTATAGACTTGCGTATGTTGAACCAGCCTTGCATCCCCGGGATGAAGCCTACTTGATCATGGTGGATAAGCTTTTTGATGTGCTGTTGCAATCGGTTTGCCAGTATTTTATTGAAGATATTTGCATCTATGTTCATCATGGATATTGGCCTGAAGTTTTCTTTTCTTGTTGAGTCTCTGTCAGGCTTTGGTATCAGGATGATGTTGGTCTCATAAAATGATTTGGGAAGGATTCCTTCTTTTTGGATTGTTTGGAATAGTTTCAGAAGGAATGGTACCAGCCCCTCTTTGTATGTCTGGTAGAATTCGGCTGTGAACTCGTCTGGACCTGGGCTTTTTTTGGGTGGTAGGCTCTTAATTGCTGCCTCAACTTCAGCCCTTGTTATTGGTCTATTCAGGGTTTCAGCTTCTTCCTGGTTTAGGCTTGGGAGGATGCAAGTGTCTGGGAATTTATCCATTTCTTCCAGGTTTACTAGTTTATGTGCACAGAGATGTTTGTAATAATCTCTGACGATGGTTTGTATTTCTGTGGAATCTGTGGTGATAACCCCATTATCTTTTTTTTATTATTATTATTATTGCATCTATTTGACCATTCTCCCTCTTCTTTTTTTATTAATCTGGCTGGTGGTGTGTTTTGTTGATCTTTTCAAAAAACCAGCTCCTGCATTTATTGATTTTTTGAAGGGTTTTTTGGTGTCTCTATCTCCTTCAGTTCTGCTCTGATTTTAGTTATTTCTTGTCTTCTGCTAGGTTTTGAGTTTTTTTTGGTCTTGCTCCTCTAGCTCTTTCAATTTTCATGATAGGGTGTCGATTTTAGATCTTTCTTTGCTTCTCATTATTGCTGTACATTTTCCTCTAGACACTGCTTTAAATGTATCTTAGAGATTCTGGTATGTTATGTCTTCATTCTCGCTGGTTTCGAAGAACATCTTTATTTCTGCCTTCATTTCATTGTTTATCCAGTCAACATTCAAGAGCCAGTTGCTCAGTTTCCATGAAGCTGTGCGGTTCTGAGTTAGTTTCTCAATTCTGAGTTCTAACTTGATTGCACTGTGGTCTGAGAGACTGTTTGTCGTGATTTCCATTCTTTTGCATTTGCTGAGGAGTGATTTACTTCCAATTATGTGGTCAATTTTAGAGTAGGTGTGATGTGATGCTGAGAAGGATGTATATTCTGTGGATTTGGGGTGGAGAGTTCTGTAAATGTCTATTAGGTTTGCTTGGTCCAGATCTGAGTTCAAGTCCTGGATATCCTTGTTAATTTTCTGTCTCGTTGATCTAATATTGACAGCGGAGTGTTAAAGTCTCCCACTATTGTGTGGGAGTCTAAGTCTCTTTGTAAGTCATTAAGAACTTGCTTTATGTATCTGGGTGCTCCTGTATTGGGTGTATATATATTTAGGATCATTAGCTTTTCTTGTTGCATTGATCCTTTTACCATTATATAATGTCCTTCTTTGTCTCTTGTGATCTTTGTTGGTTAAAAGCCTATTTTATCTGAGATGATCATTGCAACTGCTGCTTTTTTTTTGCTCTCCATCTGCTTGGTAAATCTTCCTCCATCCCTTTATTTGAGCCTTTGTGTATCCTTGCATGTGAAATGGGTTTCCTGGATACAGCACACCGATGGGTTTTGGCTTTTTATCCAATTTGCCAGTCTGTGTCTTTTGATTGGGACATTTAGCCCATTTACATTTAGGGTTAATATTGTTATGTGTAAATTTGATCTTGCCATTTTGATGCTAGCTGGCTGTTTTGCCCATTAATTGATGCAGTTTCTTCATTGTGTTGATGCTCTTTACCATTTAGTATGTTTTTGGAGTGGTTGGTACTGGTTGTTTCTTTCTATGTTTAGTGCCTCTTTCAGGAGCTCTTGTAAAGCAGGCCTGGTGTTGATGAAATCTCTGAGTACTTGCTTGTTCATAAAGGATTTTATTTTTCCTTCACTTATGAAGCTTAGTTTGGCTGGATATAAATTCTGTGTTGAAAGTTCTTTTCTTTAAAGATGTTGAATATTGGCCCCTACTGTCTTCTGGCTTGTAGGGTTTCTGCTGAGAGATCTGCTGTGAGTCTGTATGTACTGTGTGAGTTGAAGTTCATTTTCCTAATCAGACATCTGCTTGTCTCAGAATACCTTTTTCCTATTACTTAATCTAGCACCTGTGTCAAAAATAAATTGACCGTATAAGTGTTGGTCTATTTGTGGACTATCTTGTTCCATTAATCCATCTGTCTGTCATTAGACCAATAGCATGCTGTCTTGATTTATCTAACATATAGCAAGCCTTGAAGTCAGATAATGTAAGACCTTCAACCTTGTTATATTTAAGGAGTGTTTTGGCTGTTCTTGGTCTTTGCTTCTCCAAACGCCTGCAAGGATTTCAACTGAGATTGTGTTGAGTCTGTAGATAAATTTGGGGAGAATTGTCATCTTAACAATAATGATCTTCTTATGCATGAACCATGGTGTCTTCTCCATATATTTGTCTCCTTTAATTTCCCTTAAAATTCTCATGATAATGCAGTATAAGTTGCAGTATATAGATCTTACACAGCTTTCATTAAACTTAATCTAAAATATTTTTAATACTATTTTAATAGATTTGGGGTTTTAAAATTTTTTTAAATTATTTATAATTCTGTATAATTTATAATACTAATTGTAGTAATTTTCTGATATATGGACACTCATTTGACTTTTGAATATTGACCTTGTAGTTTGTGACTTAATTTCACTTAATAGCTATCGTTGTTTTGTAGATTTCTTGGAATTTTCTATGTATAGGATCATATCTACAAATAAAGAGAGTGTTTTTTCTTCCTTTGCAATCTTTACACTTCCCCCCCCTTTTTTTTTTTTCATTACTGATTTTAACTTCCAGTACAGTGTTGAAGTGGTAAGAGCAGAAATCCTTGCTTTGTTACTGATCTGAGTTACAAAACATAATCTTTAATCTTTGAATTTTGTGTTATTTATAGATTTTTGTAGATGTGTAATCAGGTTTAGGAAGTTCTCTTATACTTTTAGTTTGCTGGGGGTTTTTATCATTAATGAATGTTGGATTTTGTTAATTTTTTTGCAGCTATGGAAATATGGCTTTCTCCATTGTTTTGTTAATATGGTAAATTACATTGGTTGATTCCTGACTGGTAAACCAACCTTGAATTCCTCAAATCATTTTCACTTGGTTATGATTATTATATTTTTTAATACATCGCTGGGTTGAATTTCCTAAAATTTTGTTAAATTTTATATCTATTTTTGAACATTAGAGAGTTATAGATTAGTCTGTACTTCTATTTTCTTGTTTTATGTTTGCCTTGTTTTATTTTTTCTTTAAGAATTCACTGATGAAGCAGTCTAGCTCCCAACAGGGAGGGGGTTTTTTGTGTATTGGGAAGGAAGGCTTATAATTATGAATTTAATGTCTATAATTGATAAAGGGGCATTCAAAGTCTCAGTCTTTTTGGGTTTTGTTGGTGGTGGTGGTTTTGTTTATTTGTTTGTTCTTGAGGCAAGGTCTAGCTCTGTTGCCCAGGCTGGAGTACACTGGTGCAATCATGGCTTACTCTAACCTCCACCTTGAGAGAATATGTTCTTAAGGGTTTTGTTAAAAGCCTTAATTGTGTACAGCACTTTACATTGTAAGGTGATTAATTCCTGTATCATAAGGCAGGAATTGAACACATGTTTTGGGAGATTTAAACACATATTATGTGTTTTGGAGGGGCTTTGTGTTTTGTAAACCTTTAGGTATTTCAGAACTTGACCACATATCCCATTTCTTGAGTACAATGTGATTAAGATTTTCCTTAAAATAACAATTTTATAAAACCTGTTAACACCCAAATTAAAGAACAACTTCCAGTGAGGGTTCATTTACCAGCCAATATCATTAGGTAGGAAAATTGAATTTCTGTCCAAGTTGGATTATGTATTAAAGCAGTGTAGCCAGTGATATATTTGGATATTAGAGTATTTGGCAGAGTCCCTCATGAGATATTCTTGAAGAATGGGACTTAAGAAATGTGGACTGGAGAATAATACAATTAGACTGATTTGTAATTCAGCACAATAAACACTAACTGAATTTTGTCATCAGCTGATATGTAGTACTCTGCCTTTTTTTTTTTTTTTAATCAGTGGTTTGAATGAGGACAAATAGCATTGATGGTGGTGTTGTTAATTCACAGATGATGTTAATCTGGTATCCAGATTCCTCAAAATTGGATGGCAGGTTTATTTAGAAAACAAAATAATCTTGATGGGTTAGAACAGGGTATCTCATTAACAATGTAACTTTTTCTGAAAATCAAGATGGGGTCTCACTATGTTGCCCAGGTTGGTCTTGAACTTCTGGTCCTGCCACCTCAGCACTCCTGAGTAGCTGGGATTACAGGCATCCACCACCATGCCCAGCACATGATAACTCTTAATAAAGTATAAATGTGAACTTTTTTCCTTTGCCTCTTCCCAAAAAAGAAACTTTAAGAACACACCTGCTGAGTGTGGTGGCTCACTCCTGTAATCCTAGCACTTTGGGAAGCTGAGGTACACAGATCGCTTGAGCCCAGGAGTTTGAGACCAGCCTGGACAACAATGGTGAAACCCATCTCTACACCAAAAATATACAAAAATGTGCTGGGCATGGTGGTGTATGCCTGTAGTCCAGCTGCTTGGGAGGTTGAGGTGAGAGAATCACTTGAGCCTGGGTGGTGGAGGTTGCAGTGAGCCAAGATTGTGCCATTGCATTCCAGCCTGGGTGACAGAATGAGATCTTGTCTCAAAAAAAAAAAAAAAAAAAAAAGTTTGCAAAGCACATATAATGACATAGATCATTTGCATTATATTTGAAAAAAGCACGATTCAGAATTATATTCACAATTATAGTTGTATTCACTATGTGTCAGTTTTATTGAGACAAGTCTCAATTTTGTGTTAAATATATATCAGAAAATATATAATACTAAGAATAGTTCTAGGTTGTATAATTAGGAGTGGTTTTCTTTTGATTTTGCCTTTCTGTTTATTTCCCAATTTACTACAGTGAGCATGGAGCAAGGAGTAATAATAAAACACATTGAAGATGAAGTGTGTAATTTTTTTGATGATTTAAATGTGTAGCTAAGGATAGTTCATTTGTATTGTTACAATAAAGATTTTCTCATTCCTTTATTTGTCTTTAATAATAGTCACCATGATACAAAAGTCAGCATCAATCATGGTGCTCTCTGGACACAACAGTCTGTTACTGTTTTCTTCCTCTATTACTAGGAATCCATTGAATCTGTTTTTTTTTTTTTTTTTTTAATTTCCCTTCATCAAAGGTTGAATTAATAAAAGGGAATTTACAAAGTGTTGGACTTACACTTCGTCTTGTCCAGTCAACTGATGGGTATGCTGGGCACGTCATCATTGAAACTGTGGCACCAAACTCACCTGCTGCAATTGCAGATCTTCAGCGGGGAGATCGACTTATCGCCATTGGAGGTAATTATGCTAATATGCATTATACTTTACCTTTACAGATAAACTACAAAGTAGGTGTCAGGTTTTTCTTCCCTTCCTTTTTCCTTATTTCTATAATATGCACATGTTACTTTTATAATGGAAAGAGAGTAATAAGCTTTATTATAAATAAAAATTTGAAGGAGGCCTTCAAAATACATTTAAAATATATGTCCCATTTAGTTCTAATGCATAAATCTTTAACATACTTTATCTTTAGACCACTTTTATATAACCACTCTAATCCTTCCCTCCCCACCTTCTACTACTATATTTTTTCTTGAATGTGAAAGTAAGGGCAAATGAACAGTTAGGTTACTTTTCTTTACGACTACCACCATTGCTACTCTGAACCTAAAATTGGTAGTATTAGCACTACTGCCACCATCACTTAGGACTAGATAATGAGCAGATGAGGAACTAACATGAGGGGCAGATACAATACACATTTATTTATTTATTTTTTTAAACACCTTGGAACATAACAGAAAAGTTTTTGTATGTCTCTTTTCCTGTTGTTTTTTTTCCCTGTACATAAATATATGCCCTTCCCAATTTTTGTTTAGGAAACAGAACTTTCTAAACTATGCATTTTTATAATAGTCTTTATTTCTTTTAACATATTATAAATTTTGCCCATGTCAACAGATATTTTTCAAAACATTTTTCTGTAGCTTTGATTCATTTATATGAATATATAATTGTTTTTAAAATATTTGGAATTGGTGATGGTTGAAATAAGATTGGCAAAATGTTATATTTGAAGCTCAAAATATAATTCATTTTAGTTTCCTCAACTTTTGAATATGTTTGAAATATTCCAAAAGGAAAATCCAGACTTGAATGACGAGAGAGGTACAATGGCCATCTCCACATAACACTTGATGACTGGAGAATAGATGAAACAAGAGCAGATTTTGAGTCATAGAAAATGAATTTAGATTGAATTGAAGTTTTTGTCTACTGTAGATCATTAGATTGACTCATTTTTCATTTATGCATATTCATTTTTCATTATACATGTTTTGCAATAATTTACGTTTTCCCTTTTAAAATCTTAAACTAGGTGTGAAAATCACATCAACACTGCAAGTGTTGAAGCTTATCAAGCAGGCTGGTGACCGAGTCCTGGTGTACTATGAAAGGCCTGTTGGCCAGAGTAATCAAGGTGCAGTGCTGCAAGATAACTTTGGCCAGTTGGAAGAAAACTTTTTGTCAAGCTCATGCCAACCAGGTTATGAAGAGGAAGCTGCCGGGTTGACAGTAGATGCTGAAAGTAGAGAGCTGGATTCTGAATTTGAAGACTTGGCAAGCGATGTCAGAGCACAAAGTGAGTTCAAAGATGAGGCACAATCATTAAGTCATAGTCCCAAACGTACTCCAACAACACTTTCTATTAAACCCCTTGGAGCTATATCACCAGTTTTAAACCGTAAATTAGCTATAGGAAGTCACCCACTACCACCAAAAATTCAACCCAAAGATGGAAATAAACCTCCACCCCTAAAAACTTCTGAGATTACAGACCCAGCACAAGTGTCAAAACCCAACCAAGGATCCACTTTCAAACCACCTGTGCCACCACGACCACAAGTGAAAGTTCCTTTGCCTTCCGCTGATGCTCCAAATCAGGCAGAACCAGATGTTCTTGTTGAAAAGCCAGAGAAGGTACCGCCTCCTCCTCCTGTAGATAAATCTGCTGAAAAGCAAGCAAAAAATGTGGATCCCATAGATGATACAGCTGCATCTAAGCAGTTTTTAGCAAAGCAAGAAGTGGCCAAAGATGTCACTTCAGAAACTTCCTGCCCTACTAAGGATAGTTCGGACGACCGTCAAACATGGGAATCATCAGAAATTCTTTATCGTAATAAGCTGGGAAAATGGACAAGAACCAGAGCATCCTGTTTGTTTGACATAGAAGCCTGCCACAGGTACTTAAACATTGCATTGTGGTGCAGGGATCCTTTTAAGTTGGGAGGTCTCATCTGTTTGGGACATGTTAGTTTAAAACTTGAAGATGTGGCTTTAGGATGCCTAGCTACATCAAACATGGAATACCTTTCCAAATTCAGGCTGGAAGCCCCTTCACCTAAGGCTATAGTCACTAGAACGGCACTGCGCAATCTGAGTATGCAAAAGGGATTCAATGACAAATTTTGCTATGGTGACATTACTATTCACTTCAAATATTTGAAAGAAGGAGAATCAGACCACCATGTAGTTACTAACATAGAGAAAGAAAAAGAACCCCATTTAGCTGAAGAAGTTTCTGCTCTCACTAAAGAGGAACAATTTGTTGGACAGATGGGTTTAACAGAAAACAAACACAGTTTTCAGGATACTCAGTTCCAGAACCCAACGTGGTGTGACTACTGTAAGAAAAAAGTTTGGACTAAAGCAGCTTCCCAGTGTATGTTTTGTGCTTATGTTTGCCATAAAAAATGTCAAGAAAAGTGTCTAGCTGAGACCTCTGTTTGTGGAGCAACTGATAGGCGAATAGACAGGACCCTGAAAAACCTCAGGCTGGAAGGCCAGGAAACCCTCTTAGGCCTGCCTCCTCGTGTTGATGCCGAAGCTAGCAAGTCAGTCAATAAGACAACAGGTTTGACAAGGCATATTATCAATACTAGTTCTCGTTTATTAAATTTGCGTCAAGTCTCTAAAACTCGCCTTTCTGAACCAGGAACTGATCTTGTGGAACCTTCACCGAAACACACACCCAATACATCAGACAACGAAGGCAGTGACACAGAGGTCTGTGGTCCAAGCAGTCCTTCTAAACGGGGAAACAACACAGGAATAAAGTTAGTGAGAAAAGAGGGTGGTCTGGATGACAGTGTGTTCATTGCAGTTAAGGAAATTGGTCGTGATCTGTACAGGGGCTTGCCTACGGAGGAAAGGATCCAGAAACTAGAGTTCATGTTGGATAAGCTACAAAATGAAATTGATCAGGAGTTGGAACACAATAATTCCCTTCTTAGAGAAGAAAAAGAGACAACTGATACAAGGAAAAAATCACTTCTTTCTGCTGCCTTAGCTAAATCAGGTGAAAGGCTACAAGCTCTAACCCTTCTTATGATCCACTACAGAGCAGGCATTGAAGATATAGAAACTTTAGAAAGTCTGTCTTTAGATCAGCACTCCAAAAAAATAAGCAAGTACACAGATGATACAGAAGAAGACCTTGATAATGAAATAAGCCAACTAATAGACTCTCAGCCATTCAGCAGCATATCAGATGACTTATTTGGCCCATCCGAGTCTGTGTAACAGACAGGTCTATTTAAACTTTCAAATGAATGGGGTAAAGTTGCATCTAAAGTACCACAGATACAACCATGTTTAAATCCTCTTATGCACTTTGGCCTGCTTCTCCAGTTACTTGCTTGTGTAAGAACAAAAAGGAAAAGGTTGTTTTCTGGTAAAAACATGACCAGCTTACTAAATGGTTGTTTTGGATTGCATTTATAGCTATGCTTTTTGGGTTTATACTGGGAATTTATTTTTACTAATTTATTTTTAACTTTTCTAATTATGTAATTATGTAAGCTAACTTTTCATGTTTATGTATGTATGGTGTCCCCTTGTGTTATTTTCCTTCCTCTTGGTTTTTGAATTAGTGTTAAATAGCATACCTACTGTCTAGATTCTTGAAATATTTTCATTTCCATCATGGTTATAACAAATTTGCTGCATGCCCAAATTGGCAATAGCAATCATTGAGGGAACAGGTTTTGAAGCTTTCTTTTGTGTTATGAAGTTTATCATCTCTACTTGCTTGAGATTTTTGTTATTTTGAGGGTTTGGGGCTACTTTTTGTTTTGTTTTTGCCAAATGTATCATGAAAGCAGATGCTGCAGCTTTAGTCTGTTGTGCTGATTAAGTAAAAAGAAATTTTTTTTTACATATATTGCTTGCTTTCGATACTTCTATGAAATTTTTTTCTAAAGCTTTTGTGCAGCTGAAGTATGGTAAAAAATATGGTGATTAATTTGAAGAGCTTACATTGAAAGACAATGTAATAGGAAGTAAATGTAGAATGAGTTAGTCAAGAATTTTGTAGAGAGGATAGCAAGACTTACTGAAAAACAGTAATGTAGCATTTTGAAATACAGTCTTTTAAAATATTGATGCTTTCCTTTTAAATAGAAATTTTAAATTTATGATTAAAAGTTTAAACATTTATGATTATTTTTCATCAGTTCTCCCATAGGAAATAAAGCATGTGAAAGGGTAAAGTTTTGGGGGACTCTTTAAAATTACTGTGTTGATAACTAGTTTTGGCTGGTTTTGTTTTAGAAACATTTTCATGTAGGAGTATTCTGTGAAGGAGAGGAATCCTGCAAAATGTATTTATTGCTCTATCTGGCATCTTACAGGCATAAAGGAATGGTAATCATTTTGAATACTTCTGTAGTTCAGACTATCTTCATTAAGAAAAGAAAGACAAAAATAGACAGTATACATACATAGGAATTGGGACCAGTTCTCTGAAAATGAAGGTCTACTTACACTGGATCCGTTTTACAGATCCCAGTAACCCTGACTGAGGGAAAACGAGTAAGCTTGACTGCTCTTGGGGTACCTTAATAGTTTCAGTATGTTGTATACCTATAAAATAGACAAGTATATGTTTTTCCCTTGTGTCGGTAACTGCTATGATGATTGCTATATAGTGAAACTGACATGAATTTAAAACTAGATGGAGCAGCTTTTATTGTTAGCAGGGAAAAGCATAGTAATATTAGGTATTGTGGCCCAGGTCTGGTGTCCAGGACTCCATAAAAGAGTTTAAGTTCAAGCCCTTCCATTAATGAACTGTGCAAGCATAGGCAGTTACAAATGGACTCTATCCTACAGTTTACCCATCTCTAAAATGGGAATATTAATACTTTACCTGTTTCACAGGATTATTGTGAGGAAAGTAGCATAACTGCAAAAGTGCTTTGGACAGTAAAAAGCTATACAAGTAAAAGGCATTATTTATATGAGTGAGAAAGACATTTTTGAGGGAAGAAAAGTTATTCCACTTTAAAAATCAATAGCCAACTCTCATACCTTTTGTTACTTTATTAAGTAAAAATTTCAGGCATTAAACACCTTTCTTAGCCACGTTTATAACAAAAACATATTCCAGCATACTTATTATTTAGGTGTGATCTCTTATTTTAAAAGAATGCTGCTATAGAATACTTTACATACCAAATTCCCTGAAAGCTAAAATAGTTTCATAACTTACACTTGAAGCAATCTGCTCAGTGTATAACCACATTTTATAAAAATAACTTACCATTGATAATCTGGAAGGTGGAGTACTTGTAAGTAGCTGGTGTTTATTGATTAAACCATGGAAGCTTTAATGATACTCAAGCATGTTGCTGAAACTGATGCATTTGAAAGAGCTGTTGAAATAATGCAAAACTGGTTTCATAAGAATCTACTCATGTTTTAAAAGTATGTAACTCCGCAGACCACATTTATAGAAAGCTCAGTAATGCTGCTAATGACATTTGTAAACTATACCTATAATGTAGTGCAATATTTTTATATTTCACTGGGAGAGGCAGTAGAGACATCATAGTTGTACTTTAGTGCAAGCAGGGGAACACTCTGAATAGCCTAGAGTATAGTAAGGTAAAAAGCTTCAATGAAAAAAAGCTGTATATTACATTACTGATGTAATCTTGCTGCCATGCTATGTATCAATAGCTAAAAAATAATAAAGATAAGACTACCACAGAAAACAAGAATATCCTCATTTGATGACATCTAAAAAAAAGGTGATTGCTGCATCTCTATGGAATTATCTTCTGGTATAATTTGGCCATGCAGAAAAGCATAACAAAGTCCACTTTTGCTAAACAAAATTGCTATTTTGCAGACTGCCCCAAAAGATTTTTTTTAACTATTGTTTCCTTATGGATTATTAAGTTTATGGATTTTCTTTGGCTATGTATTAGTAATTAGACATTAAAATAGGTTTTCTACATTGGTATTAGCTGAAGGAATGGGTTAGACAAACTGACCGACATTATACCATTATTAGCATCATAATAGGCTACATTTCTTCATATTAAGCCTTATATTCAACATCAGAACTACTTGAAATATGTAGCTATTTTGTGATGCTGGGAGGAGAAAATACAACCTAAAAATTTTGAAGGGGTACTGTCATATTCTAAATGTATAGCTGAATTTTTTGAAAGCATTTGGAAATATTTGGCTTTTATAATAATAGATAATAAAATCGTAAGTCCCCTAAAAGTGAATAAATTTTAAATACATACTTTAAAAAATATTGTCCTAATTTCTAAATTGAGGTAACAGCTTTTCTTATGGGGGGGAGGGGGGAAGAAAGGAGAGGTTTCCCCTAATTCCTTTTGGGCCATAGATCCCCTTTTAAGATCTGATTAAAGATATGGACTTTCACCCCAGGAAGATACCCATGTGTGCACACCATTCAAAATGTATCTGATTTCAAAGGTTTTATGGAACTCCCAGGGATTATGTCAATTGGCTGGATATTACAGCTATTTTCATCAGATACAGTTATTTATTGACAACCATCAGGACAATGTCGTTTATAGATGCAAGGATAACTTGTTTTTTTCCCCACACTGAATGTGGCTAGTTACAGATCTCAATTTAAAATAAATTTTGAAAAGTCAGAGTACGGTCAAGCTAACCTGAAGTTGCTTTTATCTGATACCTACAAGCACAGTAGAATAGTATTTAATTAGATATCCACAGTCAAAATACCTTTATCTTTTATTCCAACAACATTTGGTTTATAAAGGAATACTAATAGGCACAGTACATGGTTCAGAAGATTTATTAAGTAAACTTGCTAAAACATGGACAGATGCACTTAGCAGTCAAACAGTTGAATATTCATTGCTACCTCATTAAGGTTTTTATATCTGTATTACCAGGTACAAACATAAAAACCACCTCTGTTCAAAAAATAAATGTTCAGAGAGCTGTAGTTTGTTTTGGTACGTACATTTTAAAAAACACCTCTTTTCAGTCTTGCTAACCAAGTGTATTAGTCATATAAAAGAACTTATAATTGTTTTCCCCAAGTACAACATATCTTTTGCTCCCAAAACAGTTCTGAAGGTTTTATTTATATTTTATCTTACCCCAAGGGATCAATAGCAGGTATACCTTTGCCAGGCATTCTTACAGAAAGACACAGAGCCTTAAAGGTGAAAATAAAATCGTAATGAAGTATACAGTATTGGGGTCAGGGAGAACCAAAAACTCTCAAAGAGAACCAATTTGTAGCACGTTCTTTTTTAAGGCTCTAGCCCTGTAGAAGTAAAAAACTAGTCTGCCTTTTTAGCCATATGAGAGTTCCTCCAGAGCCATCTTCCAAAGTAGCAGACTTGGCCAAGTTGCCCATTGCCAAATAAGTGAGTTGGAAGCTTGTTTGCTTCAAACACAATGAAACAAAGGAAATGTTAGCTACTTTACTAGAGAATAAGAAAGCCACAAGATTGAGGAGTCTTTGTTCTAAAGTTCTTTGCTCCTTAATGTCCAAGTTAACACAAACACAATCTTAACAAAACTAATTTTTGTTTATGATTACAGAACTGCAAGATTAGCAAGTATTAGAGACATTTCACACTACACCCAGTCATATCTCATACAAAACAACATAAATTGACTATGTTCACTAACAGTATTTGCTGTTATACTGAAAAGGCACATCAATGTTGTCATGCTTAGAAAAACTACACTGCACACTAGATAATATAGTTAACACATTTTTAGGTGTTTCATTTTTCTTTTCTGCCTGATCATATTATGTTTACTTCTTTTCTTAATACATGATTAAAGACATAATTTCATTCCTAATCTTCATTTAAAATTTGTCTTAACATTGATGTGAATAATTTTCACGAGTCTAAAAAATGTTTCAGACAACTTAAAATAAATAGATCCCTAGAAAACACTTGGATGATCTGCAAACAGATCAAAGAAATAGTCAGATATTCAAGTCAGAGCAGCTGTTACTAGCCTGTTGTTTCTTTTTCTAAAACTTGAAGTAGATGGCGATGAACCTTACCATGTTTAAACAACCTTGTCAGTATAAGGTACGTATACCCTCAGTTTTCTTTCATATAGTCAAGTATGCCTCTTTCCCAGCTTTTAGTTCATAACAATATGTTTGGTTGCTTTGCTCTGCTTTCAGAACGTTTACTATTTTTCCCTTATTGGCTTTAATGTTTGCTGCCAACCACATAACATGTAGACATAATTTATAACTCTCTCTTTCTAGGTAGGTGATTACATAGAAAACTAACGCCAGCTAAGATTTATGGTTCCAAAAGATAACTGACACAAGTTCTTGTCCTCTACACCTGAGAAAACTAGCTCTTTAACTCATAAATGTATTGATAGTAACTACAAGTTAAATAACACTCATTCATTGTCACTATATAACATGCTGTCTTACTTGATTCTGTTTTTCACACTTCATTCTAGTTTCTCTTTGTTGAAAGAGTCTCAGAGATAATATGTGCTTTAATTTTAAACACTCATTTCCAATATTCAGAAAAAAAAAAGATTTTTTGCCCAAGTGTTTGTTAATGTAAGTTAAAAAAATTATATTTGGTTTGGATTCAAATATTTATAGATTTACACAATACCTATTTCATCAAAATATATTGTATGGTATTTAATAAAATCAAATACATAAAATAAAGTTTCGACACTATTTATACAAACCCCTAGAAAAGCTTCTTTTTCTTTATAAGGCTGTTGGCAATCGATCATCACCATGGAAAAGAAATAATAACCTTTGGTTTTACTCTTTCACCAGAAATGGATGGTTTGACTAAGACAGTTCTGGATGAGTCGTGTCACTGGAAACACTGTTTTATACAATTAAATACTTGGATGACTTTTGAGGATCTCAGTCACTTTCAGATTCTTCATCATCACCTATTGGATATGACTGGATATTATTCTGAGTGTACATCTTTGTTTTAATAGGGCAGTTGTGATCCATGAGAATAGCCTAAAAGAGAACAAAGTGCAAATATATCAACTTCTTGTTTCATAAAGATAAGATGGTTTTAACCTACTATTTTTAAGGATTATTAGTTTGAAAGCTATGTACTATTACTTACTATTTGGAGCAATCACCAGGCGCCTGGCCTAAAAGACCTGTAGTTCTACACTCTAAAATTTCTAGGCAATTGGAAACAGCAGAAGTGGTCTCTGCAGTATTTTCATTATACCTGTCAGGGGCCATAAGTCAACTCTGCGAACTTATACTCTATGAAGCAAGGGAGAGGCAGGCTAGGTTTGTTATACTTAGAATCTTGGAATTGTATGGCAATCCTGGAGGTCACCCAGTCCAACACCTGTTTACAGACATCATTATGACAACACGCCTTGAAAGGATGTGCTCACTCCCTAATGAGAGAAACTCTCATATGTGAGAAATGTACCTAATTCTAGACTACAACCCACTTCCATTGTTTGCATTCATGAATCTGGTTCTGGTATCTTCTTTTCTTTTTTGAAACAAGCTTTTGTCACCTAGGCTGGAGTGCACCAACCTCTGCCTTCTGGGTTCAAGCAATCCTCCCACCTCAGCCTCCCAAGTAGCTGAGATTACAGGTGTGTACCACCACGCCCAGCTAATTTTCTTGTATCTCTAGTAGAGACGGAGTTTCACCACGTTGGCCAGGCTGGTCTCAAACTCCTGACCTCATGTGATCCGCCCTCCTCAGCTTCCCAAAGTGCTGGGACTACAGACATGAGCCACTGCACCTAGACAGTTCTGATATCTTCACAGGCTACCTTTACAATCTTTTGTTGTTTTTTTGAGACACAGTCTGACTCACGCCATAGTACAATCTCAGCTCACTGCTGCTTCCCGGGCTCAAGCCATCTTCCCACCACAGCCTCCCAAGGAGCTGGTACTACAGGCATGTGCCACCAAGCCTGGCTAAGTTTTTTTTATTTATTTATTTATTTATTTTTGTAGAGATAAGATCTCACTATATTGCCCAGGCTGCCTGAACTCCTAGGCTCAAGTGATCTTCCTGCCTCAACCTCCCAAAGTGGTGGGATTACAGGTACAAGTGACCATGCCTAGCCCCCAGTCTTTTAAGACATTGTCATGGCCTGTAGATTTTTTCTTAGGCAAAACATGCTAGAGCTTTTACTTTTTCACACATGTGATTTCCAGACTACCTCTCCTCAAATCCTGGCTGTCCTCTAGCTTAAATACATGATTTTTAAAAAAAATCTGATGAGCATGAAACTCTTGTGTCCTCCTTTATTGTTACTGAAAATGTAAAAACTTTGACAAAAACATGCTGCTCTTCTTTCAAACCAGATTCTCAAATAAGTATTTGCTTATATTTGATAACACAGCTGACATTATCATGCCAAGACCATCCTAAGCATTTTAGAGGCAGCTTTCTTTTTCTGGATGGCTCTGATAGTTGTTCCATAAAGCCCTTCCAGCAACAGCTGTTTTTTGTTTTCTGAATAACCTTTTGTGGGAAGTGAGAAAACAGGTCCAGAGCAGTTAAGGCATTTGACCAAGGGATGTACAGCTAGAATGGAGCAGACAGGAGCCACTTGCAGCACTCCATGGTAGTTGGATGAGCACAGAGGACGGCAAGTTATAAAATGAGTTATCAGGTATGTCTTGAGTTTTTCTCCATGTGAACTACTCCCCTAATATTTTTTTGCAGTTTGCAAATCTAAATAGATTAAAATATATCTGATGTTGGCCTATTGCAGCCCATCTTGTCTGTTAGCTGTTACCCCCAGCTCTTGTCCCCAGATTTGATAAGACACCACTCAGTGCTTAACCCATTTATCATTTCCCAAGACATTCTCCAATGATCTGCGTAACATGTGAAGATAAGGACTTCCTGACCCTCTATGTTAGGCTGCCAGCTCAACCTGTCAGCTTCTAACTTAACTGTTTGTTTTTATGCTGCTTGCCAAGTGATTCAATAAAGAGCTCAATTTTTAAAATAAAATAATGGCAGCACTAGACTGTATATCAGGTCCACTCTCCCCATGTGACACAAAGGTTTGACCCCCCCTAATAACTGGATGCCTCAGCTCCCCAGATTAATGATCCTCTAGGAAATGTAGGGATGGAGAGATGGAGCTGGTTAAGAAATGAAAGTCCAGGACCCTGTCCTCACATGACAGTGATGTCAACAAACTGAGAAACACTGCCCTAGTTACATGGCATTATCTAAGACTGCAGCACTGTCATCTGGCTGACAGCAGCTGACGGGACACCTATTGGGTGTGGCATATCAGTGCCCTTAAGGCCCTATCACAGCATCTTAGTTACCTCCCTGCATGAGCAAGGACAGGGACTCCAGGGTCCCAGGTGGAGAGCTCACTTCTGGTTCAGTGCCCAGGGAAAGCCATCCTGTAGAGGCAGGAGTTGAGGTAAACCCTGAAAGATGGGAAAGATTGGACAGCAAGGGAGGTGGCAATGAGTAAAACATGAGTTATTTATTATGCAGGACACTAAGTAAGCCAGCCTGGCCACCACAGAGATCTACCGAGGAAGCACAGTGAGATATCAGTTGGGATGCCCAACCAGAACACAGGGTATGGGGGCTTGATCCTTGCATGGTCCCCAGGCAGCCAGGTCACCTCATAAAGAATGGCCATCACTATCTTATTCCTAGTTGCCTTCCATCTCTTGGCTCATCCACATTAGACCTGAATTGTGTGAATATATCATGTTAAGAACCCCAGAACCTAGGACTGGGCACATGATATGAACATAACAAAAAACTGCACTGCAGGAAAAGCAGTTCAGTCAGATTGATTATTTGGCATTATGTAGACTTAACTGATCAGCATTTGCCAATCCACCCAAATGATATTTGTTAACAGCCTGTTTCAGGTAAAATTTTCCTCCTTGAAATGTTCTGTGGCCTTTAAAACCTAGCTCACTGGCTTCCAAACCTCTAGAAAGATTTATTGCGCAATAATTGTACTTAAAAAAAAGTTATACATGATTAAGCCAGATGGCATGTAATGTTTCAAAAGCACCATGAAGAAAGAGGCATAAACAGCATCAAGAGGGTCAGTCAGGTGCATGGGGGGCAAGTCGGACAGCCGCAGTACAGGCAGGTAAATTAAACCTGCTCTCCACACACTGCTGGGGGGAGGAAGATGTATTCAACTCTCAACCAAAGAGAAAATCAATGGGAGGGGATTGGCATTTGAATTCAGAGCAAAGCCCACTTATTAAGAGGTGAGCCCTGGCCCCTCCAAATGCCCCTTTCATGAGTCAATATCTCCTAAGTGGCAAAAAACAAGCAAACCAAAAAAACATGGTGGACCAAAGTAAAAGTAAAAGTAATACAAATATGAAGCTGGGGTAGTGAACCCATAAAAGCATTAAAAGGTAAGAGGTCCAGTCTTGGATTTTGGTAGGTACCAGGCCTTCTGACTAGGAAAGTTTTATTCTCTTCAACGTAACTAGAAAAACAATGATGGTTTTGCATCCACTATTTAAATACTTGCAAAGGGACAAATTTCTATAAACAACTTATAATATGCAGAATGTATTCTATCTCAGCAGCCTCCGGCCACCCCATCTTTGCCCCATCAATGGCATCCAGAAAACAGAGCTGTTGCCGCAAGGGCTTTACGGAACAAATATCAGAGCCATTCAGAAAAAGGAAGCTGCAATCCTCAAACCACCTAGTTTCTTGTCTGGGCAACAATTAGAAACTTCAAGAGTAAAATTAACAAGTGTGCCCTGTCTTTAAAAATAATTATTTAACCCGGGAAAAAAAAATTCACAACACAGCTATTCTCAACTGGGAATTTTGAGAGTGAAGCACTACCATGTCTTACAACAATTTTCCTCAAATGGTAATGTTGATATTTCCTATATGAGCAGAGGGACCTGAATAACAGGTTTTTTCCTCCACCTATACTGATAAAACTGATTATAAAAAATGGAAATCCAATAAACCAAATGGAAGATAACACATGCTCACAAACTAGTTCATGATTCTATGACTTGTGATACATGAAAATAGCATTAGATCCTACAATATAAAACAGCTTAAGTCCAAACACCTTGTTATCAGGATGCTGTCTGATGGAAGAATTATTTGCTAATAGTTATATGCCTTCTGGCTCTCACATCCCCAAGCATTTGGCAACTGCTCATCCTGAACGCCAGCACTTGTCTGCTCTGGGGTTTCTCAAGTGCACGGTCATCGATTCTTCCTCTTCCCTCACACACTGCAGTACTGCCTGCATGCCGCCTTATCATTAGGTGCTGTCGGCCGCCACCGCTGGCTTCCTGCTCTGCTTGCACAATGAGTAGGCAGCAGCTGCTGGTTGCCACTCTCAAATGTCACCATTAGGCCCCTCAAATGGCATCCGACATGATGCCTTCAATTATGGGCATCATTGATGGGCACTGAGATGCATACTTTCTCAAGTGTTTAATGATTTATCTTGCTAGGTGCTTATTAAGGGTGGTAACATCTCACAGTGAAAGTGGCTTTCTGGAAACCTATAATTCTTACTGTTTTGCCTTTCAAGATCACCTCTTTCACTTCCTTCAGCATTAAAAAAAAAAAAATGAACTAAAGTGTTCGTTTAAATTGGAAAAAGGGAGGGGTACTGAGGCCTGCCTTCTGCTAGTCCTTCTGCAGAACACAGTGGTAGTTGTCTGGGCAAACACATTCCCTGGTCATCCTCTGACCTCATTCATTTCCCAAAGGCCGCAGATAAGCCATCAGGCTGCTGTTTGCAAACGGACACCACAACGGCCACTAATGTTTGCCGGCTTGGCAAGGGGATCCCATTCGGCAGTTCTGGGGTCTGTATAGCAAAAGGAAACTCACATCACAGAGGGGAAAAAAAGAGAGAAAATTCAGGTATTGCTGGACTGACAGGGGAAGATAGACAAGTAGGAAAGAGTGGGATGATATTGGAAGTAAGAACACATTTTTTGAGCCATAGGGCCAATCACTCTTTGGAATTCTTTCATTTAATCCTCACAACAGCCCTAGGAGGTAGATGTTATCATTTTTCCATGCAACAGAGGAGGAAACCAAGACTCATAAGCCTCTACATGGTGGGGCCGGTTTGGCTCCCATGCCCATGCTAGCCCTTAATTCACATGCTAGCCCTTAACTATCTCCCAGGAGTCTTCAGTCTCCTGGGCTACAGGAGCATTTGTAGCTGATTTTTTACATGCACACAGACGCAAGCACACATATATACGTTTTTTGGTCAAACACATTGAGCATAACCTTCATTCAGCCTTAATCAAACTGTTGTTGTGGCAACAGAATGGCAGTTTTCAGTTGTGCTGATAATTCTCTGACTCCATTCGGGCAAGGTATTGTGCTAGGGTCAGCCAAGCAAAGACACATCTGGAATTTACACACCCAAGCTGAAAAGCAGGTGTCTCCTAAGAGAAGTCTGAGAAAGTGCTGTGGTTTTCAGAGCTAGGGAAGCATCTAAGCATCTAAGGACAAGGGGATGGCTTCTGTCTGAGTTATTTCCACAGCACCTTCCACACCTTTTCCATGAGTCAGATGGGTCTGCATTACTCAAAAGTATCTAGGTTAAATCCTATTGAAAATAAAGAGCACAAGGCCAGGGCCCAGTGCTTAATATATTTCAAAATATATGGAATGAATTAATGAATGTAAAAAACACCTGAGACAAACATAGGCTGCATATAATCTTATTTTAAAGTTTGTCTTTAAATCTCCTTTTGGGGAAAGCCATCAAAGGGCAGTTCAGGAAATACCAAAGCATTAAGACGCACTCCATTCCACCGTCAGAAAGAGCTTCTGATGTACTTCCAAGAGAACATTACAAACATACCTCACTTCTATTCACAAACACAAAAATGCCATGTCCCCTTGTTCATCTCATTCATCCTTAATCCAAGACACTCTCCTTTCACCTGGACAAATAACTATCAGCATTTGCTATTTTAAAAACTGGCAACACCAGAAAAGAAAGGTGATCAGAAACACTGAGCTTCTCCTTGCTGGGTAAGGTAGATACCTTAGAAAGGCTAAAAGGAGTCATGCATTTCAAAATTCAAATTTTGAATCAATTAATTTGAGCTTGTTCAAAAGAGGGACAAGCTATATCTTGCCTGTGGCTATAAGTTTGGTCATAAAGTGATGAATTAAATAGTTCTATGTGTTCACATATACCCCAAAGTACACATACAATGATTTTTCCATAAAAATCCTAAAATCATCTCTAAAATTCTACATACAGTAAGGACAAGACAGCAACCATTACTGGATGCTGTAAGGGTTAGGAGAAAAGCAGCACCACAAATGGCTAACCTTGGGTGTGAGTACAGAGGCAGAAAGATTGTATCCAACGTTTTCAAAACCATAGAAAATCAAATTGAATGACTACAGGTTTATAGTAGTCTCTTGGTTGCTCTCTTGGTTGACAAAAGAGCAACACCGATGCTAATCTATGTACAAAGATAATTTCATTCTCCCAGTTTATAAACATAAGCTTGAAAGAAATAACTCTAACGGTAATAAAAATATATATATAAAAGAAGTAACTGCTCTATGTGGTACAAACCAAAAAGAACTCTTACCATTTATGTTTGGAGGCTTTAGAATGAAACCATGAGGAAGCTAACAGAAAAGCCATGCTAAAATGATCAAGAAAGGGTAAGAAAAATTTTCTTACCATTTTTTCTTCTTTGGCAGGTGGACTTCGAAGAAAAAAGCAGAGAGGAGCAAAAAGAATATCAATTATTCCGATAATTGTCATGAGCCATGGAAATCCAATTGCCTTTGCAATAGCACCACCAGCAGAAGGGCCTTTCAGGAAATAGAGAATTAGATAAAGCTTTTTCCAAATGTCTTATAGACTGAAAGATGCAAAGATTTAAATAATTTTAGTAGACATTATCTGTTGTTCACTGAGGTAAAAGGTTGTTATGAAAAGCCAGTGTCCTTACCTATAGCGTACCCCATACAAAATGCCACATCTGCAATAGCGTACACACTCCCATAGACAGACACATGCCGCAGGTCTACGAGGTAGCCCATGATGGGCATCATTGATGAATCCACCATTCCTGAGGACAGTTAGGGAACACAGTGTATAGAAACGGATGTAAACCCAAAATGGGCCGAATATCAGGGACTGTGTCCTAAACTCACAACCCTGCCAGCTCTTCCCCTTCTGTCATCACCGCCTGCAAGACTTGGGGTGATAATAATGTTTGAGTAGAAAGAACGAAGGAAGCCTTTTCTGACCCCCAGAGGAGGTCAGGTTCCCCTCGTATACAGAGGTTCTCTCACAGCATCAGTCTCAATTGTCATTCATTTTTCAATTCTTTGCTAAATGCCCAACTCTCCATTGGTTTTGTTTACCCGTGTCCCCAGCATCTTGCACATATTAGGAAGCAGCTGGCACCATTTCAGTGAAAGAAATTTCCCTCATCTGCCTGCCACTAACATACATGGAGGGGAGGGTGCCAAACATCTGAGTCCCTGCCGATGTGTACACAGACACTGGCTTACGGCAGCCAGTCATGAGCATCCCCATTTTATAGATGAGGAAACCAATATTCAGAGAGGCGAGGCTTGACCACACTCACTGAGCCGGGGAATCCGAGTCAGGAACTCTGAACACACACCCTCTTTACACTACCTGCTCCCCACTACTCAAGAGACGAGATTCTAGTGCTGGTTGTGATTGTTGCTGGAGTGTGTTTATGTATATGTGTGTATGTATGTGTGTGCATGTATATGTATGTGCCTGTATGTGTATATATCTGTGTATGTATGTTTGCATATGTATGTGTCTATGTGTCTGTGTGTCTGTGTATGTATATTTGTGTATGTGTATGTATATGTATGTGTGTAGGTGTGTGTATATGTATGTTTGTGTACATGTGTAGGTGTATGTGTATCTGTATGTATGTGTATGTATACTTGTGTATGTGTGTTTATGTGGGGGTGTATGTGTGTATTATGTGTATGAGTGTGTGTGCATGCATATGCACATGCGTGTGTGTATGTGGCATGTGTGTGTGTGTTTTAGCTAACTCAGTTTCAGTTTCCTGAGCAGGGTCAGATGATCTCTCAGACTCTTGGAGTTCTGGGGCCTTCTGGTCCCCCCTAGTATTCTCCACCTTGGAAACGCCCATAGTCTAAGTGTGTGACCCAGGTGTGGCCGGCAGGAGGCGGGTCAGGCATGCAAGTGTGCTAAGTGGCTAGGGACGAGTGAACCAGACAACAGCAAATCAGGAAAGCACCGTCAGGACTCAGGCGGGGGGGAGGGCAGACATTCAGTCACCTGCAACTCTGCCAGGCCTGTAGAATGGCAAGGGAGCTGCCAGGGGACTGGGCACCCTCCCCAAAAAGATGTCCAGACAGTGAGGACAAGGGGAGTCAAGGCAGAGGACGGGCAAAGGCCACCTGAGGAGGACTTGGAGTACAGCACTGGGTTCTACCCCCAGCCTTGGCGGCCTTCTACCATCTGTCCTCAACAAAAGCTGTGCTGTGTCGCTGTACCACTCAAAGATTACATTCCTGCCTCTACAAGGGGTGGGTTGAGCACTTACTTTTATCACAATAAATTGGTATATTATAAATAAGAGACAAAGGTATTCCATTCATTCAAAATAGTGACAAGATTTTTCCTAACGTATCATTATTCTTAACATTATAAAAACCCATCTCCTTGCCTATGAAAATTCCTGTAGCATAGGTGGTCAATGCCTCAGTCTGCTTTGTCTGTACTAAAACATCTTAAAAATATATATGTGAAGCCTTTGCCCCCAGCCTCAGGAGAAGATGTGCTCACAGGGAGGAGTCCACACATATGTGCTCTGAGCAAGGGATTCCCTTGTTTGCCCGGCCCAGCTGTGGAACATCAGCTTGCTTCTGTAAATACCAGCTTTTAAAAAATACTGGTTTTCAGGAAGTGAATGACTAGTGTGTAGAAGTGGGTGTCTTTACATGGAGAATTGGACAGGCTGTACTTAGCTAAGCTGCCTGCAAGCCACCTTCCAAGATTCTAGAAAATCAGGTTGAAGAACTACAGTCTACCAGAGGAAGAAGAAACCTTCCTAGGGCAAAAGGGGTTTAAAATGTAACCACAAAGTTTGTGTGACTTACCAATTGCAAAACCAACTCCAAAGTTCGGAGCTATGAGTCCATAAATGTTTTTTGCAAATGGAATCTGTAAGAGAAAATAATATTATGCTAAAATAACAAGAGATTCAGCTTTAAATCATCTCAGAAAGTCTTGAACTTGTGCTTTCTCTGGGCACGTTATGCCTGTTCCCTTCTGAAGAAAACAGGAGGAAGAAGGGTGGGGTTTGTGAAGAACCAGAGCCCCCAAATCTTTAAAAGTCGAAGCTTGAAACAAGTTTTATGACCACCATGAAAAACTCGTCACCAGCTTATATGAAAGATCAGCCTAGTCCACACTCAAGTTTTGATAATAACAAGTAGGCTTCATGAGGGATGGATATTGGTCATTGGTAGAAGATATTTTATTCTAGAAAAACATCTTGCTATTGTTTCAGGTTGGTTGTCCGGAAGTGTTTAAGACACCATCAAGCTCAAGATGATGGAGGAGAAAGTTAAACATAAACTATGTAATAAAACATTTTAAATAATTTCTGACATAAAATGAAAATACACCCCTTGGAAAGTCTTGTCCAGACATTTATAAGGTGATAAAAAAATTAGAATAAAATGAAAGCTGTAATAAAATATCAACAAAGTCCAATGTTGATTCTTGGTGATTCCTGCCCCAAGCCAAAGTTTTATTCCCAGATTGTTTTCACCTGTCGAATGACATCTTTTACTCACACATAAAATGCTGACTCCAACAATTATCATTCCTAGAAGAGCACAAAGCCACCTACAAAATAAAAAGCACCACCAAGAAATGATCATTAGCTTTTTTCCTAGTCCAAATTTTCAGTGGAAATCAAAACAATTACTTGTAACAGCAAAGGCAGAAACAACTGAGAATTTTTTGAAAGAACTACATTATTGTAACAGAATGAGTGTTGTTTTCATATAATCTTACCTCCCCATTTTGTGTGCAAGTATCCCAAAAATATTGGTTCCAATGAGATAAGAGATACTAGCTGGCAAGAAAGCAACGCCTGTAAATGTATGAAAAGGGGACCTTATCAGTGCTGATATCAGTCACATGTTAGAAAAAGTAATAACTGTAGACACTGCAATGTTGATTAGAGCAGATTAAATGAAGCCCCAGGGCCCGTGCCCTGACAGCTAATATCCGGCGCCTGCTGGGTCTGCTCTGAACCCACGTGGCTTATCGTCCACGCAAAGCTGCTGAGACACTCCAGAAATGAAAGTCCTTTCTCTATCAACTGCTTCATCTGGCCTCCATCTCTGGCTGGTGGTGGGCTTCACACGTGGGCCGATACGAACAGGTCCTGCCTGGGAGCTCAGCAGCTGCAACCTTACGTGTGATTTCATCCCACAGAAGTAAGACACAGTCATTGAAAGAATTAGGGAACCATGAGATAAGCAAAAAGAAAAAAGTTAAAATTACCCCAAACTCCATCTATTACTCAGATAATCACCACAGTTATTTTCCCTTGTAAGTTTATTTACATATATAAATATATTTATGTTTTGATTTTCAAAAAAACAAAGGGATTATACTCTACCTACTGTTCAAGAGCCTGCTTGTTTCAGTTAGCTTTATGAACGTCTTTCTATGTCAGAAACACGAATGTCTACCTGGTCATCTTTTTGTGGCCACGTCAGATATGACTGGCATTTTCACATCCAAGTTGCTTTTTGTTTTGTTGTTTTATTTTTGAGACAGAGTCTTGCTCTGTTGCCCAGGCTGAAGTGCAGGGTCACAATCTCAGTTCACTGCAACCTCCACCTCCCGGGTTCAAGTGATTCTCCTGCCTCAGCCTCCCGAGTAGAGTAGCTGGGACAATAGGCAGGCGCCACCACGCCAAACTAATTTTTATATTTTTAGTGGAGACTGAGTTTCAACATGTTGGCCAGGCTGGTCTCAAGCTCCTGACCTCAGGTGATCCACCCCCATCAGCCTCCCAAAGTGTTGGGATTACAAGCGTGAGCCACCATACCCAGCCTCCTACCCAAGTTTTAATGCTCTACCATAGAGGGTACCTGCATCTCCTAGGTTCTGATGCACCCAGGGTGATTTCCTGCTGGTGGTGGCAGTAGTGGCCTTGAACATGTCCTCTGCATTGAACAGAAAGGCCTAGCCATTATCAGACTCAGGTTGGCTGCCAGGAAATTGTGCACATCAGCTCTATCTGGTCCTCATCCATTATTAGAACTATAGGAAAATCTCTTATAAGAGACTGCTTTTCAAACTCCTCATGATTTTAGCATTTTTTTCTTGAAATCAGATATATCAGACTTAATTCCAAGCCTTGCCTACACATGGTAAAAGTTACTTTGTTCTCAGAGGGCTGCATAAGTGAGACACACGGGTAGGTATCTGATGACCGAGCACCTGCTACACTCAAAATGCACAGGGCCCGGAGGTCCTTCTCAACTCAGCAGCTGACCACATACTCACAGGCAAGTGTGATCTTGTCTCTTTAGGATAAAGCATGAATGTCTTCCATCAAACCCAGAAAAAGGCTGAGTCTTTTGACATAGCAGGGACTTCAAAATAAATGGCTCCATGAGCTAAATCCAAAACCAGATCATTCTAGACACGGGGGTTCTGGGAAACACTAATAAACGGCAATCTCATTTCATTTTCCAGGGAATTATTTCTGTCACACTTAGCAATATGTGGTGGGCAAATAATTGTTCAGTGTAATCTGATTGAGCAAACATTTGCTGACAGCCATGCGCCCAGCACAGCACTGGCCTGCAGCAAAGACAATGACAACGTGTTTCTCGTCCTGACGCAAGTGTTTTGAAGGAAAGAAGCAGATGACGTTTAAACTGTGACCTGGCCAAGTGAGGAACGTAACAAACACACAGGTGCCACGCTCTGGGGACCTGGAACTGCAGCTGGCCACGCTCTGCAGAGCAGATGGTATTTAAACCTGGCCTCAAAAGCTATGTCGTAGGACTTGCCACCAGCCTAGAGACTGTTAGTCTGGATAAGATATCATGACAACCTTTGTCTCAGGATAAAATCCCCGAGGGCCAGGTAGGTATAAATGAATAAAACAAGTAAATTGCAAGAAAAAAATAACAGTGGAGATACCCTGATAAAGAGCCACTGACATTCAGCCTCAGTGTCAGAGAAAGAAAATGAAAACTGGAGTCAAGAGAGGTCTGTGGTGACCCAGAGGGCCCAGACTCCATCTCAGAAGGCAGACGCCACTCTCTGAGGCCATTCACTCCCCTGGGGGACTGAAGTTCTAGTAGTGGAAGATCTTGTTTGTTTTTTTAAGGTGGAGTCTCACTCTGTTGCCCAGGCTGGAGTGCAATGGCACAATCTTGGCTTACTGCGACCTCCACCTCTTGGGCTCAAGTGATCCACCTGCCTCAGTCTCCCAAAGTGCTGGGATTACAGGCATGAGCCAGGAACCCAGCCTTAGCAAGAATTCTTTCTGGGGCTTCGCCTGACTCAATGAGTAAAGTGTTGGCTGGGACAGTGCTGTGGACCACGGCAGGGACCCTCCCTTTTGCGGGGCAACGCTCTCCTTCTTGGGAGTACCTAAGGCCTCTTCGCCTATCTCTGCTCACACCAGAAAATTCACCAAAGAGAGAGCTTCTACCACCCCTTGTGCTTTTGGTACAGCCTGGCTTCAGCCATGGCCTTAGCCGGCCAGTGAGGGAGAGGCTGTGGCCATCACGAAGCCTGCGGGGAGCTGAGCTGGCCACCCAGCCCCAGAAGTGATAGTGGAAATGAGTCCTTGGGTTTTCTCCAAGCTCCAGATGACCCTGCCCTGAAGGCCAAGGTCTCAGCTTAGAGCCAGAATAGGGGCAATGGTCTGCCCCGTCCTATGGAAGGCTTAGGAGGAGGCTGAGTCCTGGCACCCCAGAGCTACAGAAAGCTGGCAGTCCCTCTTGTCTTCTGGTGCAGGCCCGTGTCCTTCCCTCTGTCCCACTTTGCATCCCCACAGCTTATTAAAAACAAAGGGGCTGAAGAACCAGAAGACAAGAGTGTGGCTCCATCCTTGTCTGGGGCCTGTTTCCCAGGGTTTTAGCTTCCCTTTGGGGGTTTGTAGGCTTCACTCCAAACTGTAAGTCCCTAAGTCTCAAAGTGTCTGGAGAGGCCATCTGACCTAGAACTCAGGTATAGAGAAAACGTCATGAAATTATTCTTTCTCCACCTACCCAAGCCCAGGGCTTCCCCTCAAGTGGCAGATGGGGAATTTGGGGGGCAGGCTGGCAAGGGAGATGTGAAAGATGGTTGGGCTGCCATATTTAGCTCCCCTAAAAAATGTGGCCGAAATCAATGTCTTCAGCAAGAGCAATCCTGCATTACCCACGCAGCTAATAAGACTTTTTGCTCTGACTTCAAATATCAAAGTCTTTCTCCAGAAACAGTGAGGGAAACCGTAAAGGCAGAACGGCCTCCCTTTCACCCTGGACTGGAAGGAGCTCACAGAAGATTCCTAAACACCAGAGGCTAGGCTGCAGGGGCAGCTCCCCACCCTCAGCACTGGGTGACTCACAGTAGCCCATCCCCAGGCTCAGGGAGCCATGGGCTGAAAGCTACAGAGACCTAGGGAAGGTAGGATATTTCCCCTTTTGCTGGTGCTGATGCAGGAGGCAGATAGAGAAATCCGATTCTCTTGAAGACAGACATGTCTATCTCTGGGGCAAACAAAACGAGGAACCTCCGTGGTGGAAACGTGCAGCAAGCTGGCTGAGTGAACGTCTGGCACAGGTCATAAGCCCCACACGGCAATCTGATGAGATCCAGGCAGCCTGCACTCTGCTGTCTGCCCCTGATGGCCCAGGGCTTCTGGCTGACTTTAAAGATTTTATAATGAAACCCTCCAGGCTTTGTCTGAAGAGGTTAGCACAAAACATCTTAAGTGTCCTGCACATGGCCGGGACACATTCAAAGAGGATGAGAATTCGGTTAGGTGGCCGGGAGACCCTGCAAACCTGTAATCACAACACTTTGGGAGGCTGAGGCAGGAGGACGGCTTGAGCCTAGGAGGTTGAGGCTACAGTGAGCTATGAGTGCACCAGTGCTCTCCAGCCTGGGTGATAGGATGAGACCCTGTCTCTAAACAAACAAGAGCTCAAGAGTGCATGCAAAGTCAACACAGCAGCTCAACTCAGCAGTGCACACTTCAACTGGACAGCAGGCGCCTCCTGAAAACACCAAGAGACCCACATTACCTCAAGGACCAGAGGGAAGAAAAGCTGGGAAACAGCCTCTCCAGAGTCAGCACAGGTATAAGCAACAAGGCCGGAGGGTGTCTTCTCATCTGCTGTTCGCTAATTTGGTGTCAGATATAAATCCACCCCTCCTGCCTTCTTTAGGAGCTCTGAAGGTCTTTGGGCTTCCTCTTTCATCTTGACTGCTAGGATGTTCAGAGCTACATTTCTGCCTAAGAAACATTCCTGTTTAGTTCCAAGAATCCTTCCTGCCTTCACTGAGTATCTCTTCTTAATTCATGCTTGGTTTTGCCTTAAGACACAATTCACATGGTTTAAAATTCACCCTTTGACAGTGCACGGTTCAGTGGTGTTTAATACATTCAGAGTTGTGCAACCATCATTACTATCTGATTACAGAACATTGTCACCATCCCACGAAGAAACTTCACACCCTATTAGCAGTTTCTCTCCATCCTCACTCCCTCTCCACCCACTATTTGGGACTTTTTTAGATATTGTTTGATGAGGGAGCACAGCAACTCAATGCAGAACCCAAAGACACTGGTACTCAGGCCAGGCCAAATGCAGGGAGGCAGGTGGAACAGGGAAAGTCTAAGCCAGGGGGCAGCCTCTTGCAAGACACTCCCTTCCCCAGGGCTACATGCCCGTGAGAGAATAAGGTCACCTAAGAAGGGTTGGGAACATTGAAAATGCCAGCTTGTTTCAGAACTGAGAGTCTCCATCTGAAGCTATCCACATGTACCTTAAAAGAACTATAAAAAGAACATAAATCTCTAGGAAGGACCACTGATAAACTCTTAAAGAAAAAGGCATGTCGGGGGAG